CGCGTGCCACCCATGCCAGCAGCACACAGCCTGGTGGCCTGGCCAGTGGGGGTCTAGACCTCCAGGCTGGGCTCATGGTCCTGACTCTCATTAGTTGAGTGGCCTTGGCCAAGGATGGAGTGAGGTCGTGGGCGTCCAACCCCGGCAGGGAGCCTGGCGTGGAACAGCCCCACCACGCGGCAGCCCCTGGCAGGCCTGGTGCCCCGTGCTGGGATAGACATGGCTGCTGTGGAGGGCGCCGACTTTGGCCTTGTGTGGGCAGAGCTGGCCTTGCACCCCATGCCGTCACAGCCCTTGGGCCAGCCCCCAGCCAGGTGCAGGGCCGTGCGGGCAGAGCTGCAGGCTCGGGCTTACCCCCACCTTCCGTCTGGCCCAGGTGTTCCTGACGTCGCCCACTGAGGTGGCCAAGGTCCGGCTGCAGACACAGACGACACAGCGGCGGCCCTCAGCCTCCTGGCCCTCTGCTGCCCCTCCCGTGTGTCCAGGGCCTGGGCCCAAGTACCACGGCCCGCTGCACTGCCTGGCCACGGTGGCCCGTGAGGAGGGGCTGCGGGGCCTCTACAGGGGCAGCTCAGCCCTGCTCTTGCGGGACGGCCACTCCTTTGCCACCTACTTCCTCTCCTATGCCATTCTCTGTGAGTGGCTCAGCCCCGCAGGCCGGAGCCAGCCAGGTATGTGGGGGGTGAGGTCGGGCTGGGGGTGGGGTCAGTCCCGTGGGGAAGAGGGGGCGTAGGTGGAGCCACACACTCCTGGCCTGGGACTTGAACCCTGGTCCCCTAGGCGTCACGAGGAGTCAGGGTCACGGTGTGGCCCTGGACGAGTCTTCCTGAGCCCCAGTGTCCCCACTGGCAAAATGAGGGCAGGCTGCAGGGTGACGGGGGCGCCCCTGGTCTCTTCCGCAGATGTCTTGGGTGTGCTGCTGGCGGGAGGCTGCGCGGGGGTCCTGGCCTGGACTGTGGCCACCCCCATGGACGTGATCAAGTCGCGGCTGCAGGCGGATGGGCAGGGCCAGCGGCGCTACCGGGGCCTCCTGCACTGCGTGGTGACCAGTGTGCGTGAGGAGGGGCCGCGCGTCCTCTTCAAGGGGCTGGCGCTCAACTGTTGCCGCGCCTTCCCCGTCAACATGGTGGTGTTCGCCGCCTACGAGGCCGCGCTGAGCCTTGCCCGGGGCCTGTCCACATAGTGGGGCCTGGGGCCCAGCGGGCTGTGGTAGTCAGAGGTGGCCAAGGGGACAGTGGTTGGGCTCAGGGCCCCCACACGGCCTCACCTAGGACACCTGAAGAGCCGCCTGGGGTCCACCTGTGCCATCCCAGGGTCGGCCTGAGGGTCCCATGAGCCAGGGAGCGCGAGCTCCGATACGTGGAGTCATTTGTCCAACTGCTCTGCAGAGAACCCCTCTGCTCGACCAGCCGGCGGCATTCGGCATGGTCACTCGGTACTCACACCCCATCCAGCTCCCACTGTGTTCTGTGTGCTCCTCACGACTGTCCCCTTGGGGGCAGCTTGGCTGGTCTCCTGGCCACAGAGCAGGGCCGGGGAGCAGGGCGCCAGCGTGGTCGTGTGCCTGCACCAGACCAGCTTGTTCCTTGCCCCAGGCTGCTCCGGGGGCATGGCCGGGGCAGCTGTGCCCACCTGGGCTTGGGCTCTGGCAGGGGCCTGAGGCCACAGTCCTTGTGAGTTCTCGCCACGCACCCTCACTCTGCCTGTAGACGCTGTCCTGCCACACGCAGACCAGCAGGTCGGGGCTGATGTCAATAAAACATTGTGGTGGACGTTCGGGGTGTTGCTTCTTGGTGGTGGTGGTGTTGGTCTCCTCCTGCCTCCAGCTCAGCCTGACAGCCACGGGGGCCGTGGGCCTGGCTCTGCCAGCTCCCTTCCTGCTGACAGCCCCCTGCAAACCCAGCGCAGCACTCGGGCTGCTGTGGCTGAGCTGCCCCTCCAGTGGGCACTGCAGGTGGGAGGGGCCAGGACCTCACACGGGTGGTCACTGCAGCCTGACGCCGGCGAGCGGACAGGTTCTCCCGCGAGGGAGAAGGGCTTGCCGAGGGCCACACAGCAGGGAGGGACAGGTGGGAGTCACCTGTGCTTCTGTGGCCAAAGCCCTCCCTCTCCCGGGTACCACGTGGCTCCCAGGACAGCCCGAACCCTCTGGCAAAGCTGGCCGACAGCCGCCTTGACCACATTTTCAGACACACTTCCTGGATCGTGTCTTCAGCCCGGACGCCCTAGTTTTCCTGGGATGGGGGCGCCCGCTGCCCCACTTCCAGCCTGGGTGCCCGCTCCTGTAGTGCCAGCCCCACGCCCAGTGTGTTCCTGCACACCTGACCTCATACCCTGCGCCTCTGCCAGGAATGCCCTCCTCTGCCCTGCCTCCTCCAGGAAGCTCTCCTTGCTGGACCACCAGAGCCTGGCTGGCCGCCTGGATGCTTACCCGACCCCCAGAGCTGTGAGCTGACTCCCCCCCTGGGCTGGTGCAAAGGAAGCGCTCAGGTGTGGACGTGCCAAGGCCGGCGGAGATTCCTGGAAGCTCCTCCCGCTGTGCGCCCGGGAGGCCGACGCCCTGGCCAGGTGCTGGGGAGGGGCCCCCGCGAGGGATGGCGTCGTTCCTCCTGCCCAGCCCCGCAGCCACTCACGGGGCAGGCGAGTTACTGGCACTCCGGCTCCAGTGGTCACGGCTCTGGCTCCTGCTCACTTCCAGCTCCAGCGGTCATGGAGCAGCGGGCCCAGGCTGGGCCCCACGGCTGTCCCTGGGGTAGCAACTCACAGGAGGGCCCCTGCTCGCTTTACGGGTGGCCTACGGGTGGCAGCGGCCATGCCACTTTTTAAAAACAGGGAGTGAAGCCGGCGCCGTGGCTCAATAGGCTAATCCTCCACCTTGCGGCGCCGGCACACCGGGTTCTAGTCCCGGTCGGGGCGCCGGATTCTGTCCCAGTTGCCCCTCTTCCAGGCCAGCTCTCTGCTATGGCCAGGGAGTGCAGTGGAGGATGGCCCAGGTGCTTGGGCCCTGCACCCCATGGGAGACCAGGAAAAGCACCTGGCTCCTGGCTCCTGCCATCGGATCAGCGCGGTGCGCCGGCTGCAGCGGCGGCCATTGGAGGGTGAACCAACGGCAAAAGGAAGACCTTTCTCTCTCTGTCTCTCTCTCTCTCACTGTCCACTCTGCCTGTCAAAAATAAAAAAAAAAAAAAAAAAAAAAACAAAAAAAAAAAACAGGGAGTGAAGGATCTGGAAGAAAGGCTGGCCAGGAGGCACAACTGGGCACGCTCTGGCTCCTCCCACTAGGCGGGGCCGCAGTGTTCAGGCTGCCCTTGAAATTTCAAATGGGAAGCAAGGCGCCGGCTCCCATAGCTGTGGGCTGATCACACGCGTGGGCTGCAGGCCAAGGCCGGCCCCCGTCTCGGTATGCAGAGCTGTCCTGGGCAGTGAGCGCCCCCGCTCCACCTCCACTGCTGTTAGGCACAGCTGGCCCTGCTGTCTCCAGGCCTAGGTTGTTTAGGGGGGCACCAGCAAAGACTGCCCTCAGGCAGAACCCCCTGCGCTGACCTCAGCCGCACCCAGGGTGCTTCCCTGGGGAGTTCCAAGAAGTGACTGGGTAGGGTCAGCGCGTGCGTGCGTAGCAGGTAAAGCTGCCTGTAGCACTGGCATCCCCTGTGGGCAGCGGTTCGTGTCCCCACTGCTCCACTTGCTGCGCCGGCTTTCCCACAGCCTGGGAGAGCAGCGGAGCACGGCCCATGTGGTCGGGCCCCTGCACCCACGTGGGAGACCCAGATGAAGCTCCTGGCTTCTGGCTTCGGCCTGGCCCAGCTCTGGCTGTTGAGGCCACTTGTGCAGTGAACCAGCAGATGGAAGACCTCTCCCTGTACTCTTGCAGATAAATAAATCCTAAAAACAAGCAAGCAAACGAAACAACAGAACAGAATGGCCGGTTTGTACCAAGAAGTGGTGGTGGGTGTGGCACCCACCCTGACAGCAGACCTAGGGCGCCACTCCCGGAGCCTGAGCAGGAGGCCTCTCCGTGCTTTCACCTGGGAGACGTCCCAAGAGGTGCCGTGTCCTAAGTGCCCCAAGTGCTGATGGGGGAAGGAGCCGTCTGTAGGTCCCCTGCGCCTTGGGTCTAGGCCCCACTCAGGTGCTGACGTGGCCACTCCGGCTGGGTGGACAGTGACAGCAGCAGCTCTGCCATCCCGGGGATTTCACGGTGTCCCTCATGTCACCTGTGCACCTGCACCTGTGACGCAGGCACAGTGGAGTTCCCAGAAGTCACAGAAAGCTGCCCAGGGCCAGGTGGCTGGTGAACTTGGCCATGCTGTGTGTGTGGATCAACCTGTGGACTCCAGGGCCACGTGGTGAACTTGGCCATCTGTGTGGGTGGGCTCCAGGCAGGGACGTGCCTGGGCCTGGGAGGAGGCTTAGCCCAGCAGAAAACGGAGGCCTGGGCAAGTTCATGCTGCACACAGGGACCTGTGTGGGGACTTGAACCCAGGCCTCCCTGGGATGGGATGTTTAGCTCTGCAGACACTGAGGGTCAGGACAGGCCCAGCTCCGTCACAAAGTCGTGGTATGGACGGGAACAAGTCACCTCCTCAGAAGACCCAGTTTCCTAGCTGTGAAATGATGCTGGGCCCGTGGCGTGAGGCCAGGGCTCACTGTAGCCGGTCCCTGCTCCTGGCCATGTGTGGGTGGAGCCCAGCCTGTGCTCCCTGGCCCTGCACGGCACTCCTCCCGCCACGAGGCCGGCGTCTGCCTGTTTCTCACCGGGCTGCTGGAACCAGCACATGAGTGGTGAGAACCTGCAGGAGGCGATGGCAAGGACAGGGAAGGGCAGGCTGACTTCACAGCGGAGTGACACCCCAGGCGAGCCGCTGCCCAGACAGCCTGCAGCTTCTGCCACGTGACTTCCTGGTTTTTGTCCCCACCTGGCTTGGGACCATCTTCAGAGGGAAGCCACCGCTCCCAGCCTAGTCCTCTGGACAGCGCGCAGCCACATGGACAGACGGATGCAAGGGTGGGAGCAAAGTTTATTTATACCCAAGCGAGTGACAAGGGGCAGGGCGGACTCCAGCCAGAGCCTTTCCCTGAGATGTGGCTTCTGTTTTCCCAGGACCACACACGGTACACGGAGAAACCGCGGAGGGTCCCCCAGGGCGGCGTCCACCGGCTTGGCCAGTGCACTGCTCTGTGTGCCCACTGCGGTCGGGTGACAGAGCAGAAGCCCTGCAAAGGCAGCGCGGCCAGGCCACCGGACACCACTGGGATGGCTCGGTGGAGCCCACATTGGTAGTCGGGGAAGAGAACGGGGATACATGCATGGTCTGGGTTAGGAAGCGCAGTCCGCAAGTCTCACCCACAGGACCCAGCTCAGTGAGCCTGCCCACCTCTGCCCACAGCCCCGTGCAAACAGCTCGAAAGTGGTGCTGTGTCACTTCCACGTCGGGCAAAGCTTTGGGCCACTCACTGCTTCTTTCCTGGCGAGGGCTGGAGTGTACTAGGTGCCCATTAAACTGCCCAGGTCAGCCTGTCAAGCCTTAGGTTTCACAAGGCGACACTCTGGCTCCATGTATGTGTCCACAGAGTGCAGATTTTAAGAGCAGATTCTAAGGGTACATTTGGAACCCTGGGCTGTTTTCCAGGGCAGCCCTCCGAGGCAGAGGCGCGGCACCCTGGCTGCTTTGTGGGTGAGACTCACAGCAGGCGCTGCTATGCGACCACGCCACCTTAGCCAGCACCCAATCACCCGCAGTGTTCTGGCCAAGACAGACGATGAAGAAACAGGGTCGGTACACACAGGGCTCACGACACCAGGCCCAGCAGTACCGTGCGACAGAGCCCACGGGCTGCGGCGACCCCACTGGGCTGGGTTATGGGTAACTCCCACCCCGTGTTACTGATAGTGGAAGCACAGCTGCCGGGGCGTCATGAACTCCTTCACCATCTCGTCCGTGACCTCCTTGCGCCGGGCCTGGTGCTCGGCGACCAGCGGCTGCAGGACGTCTATCAGCTCCTTCTTCAGCTCGCCGGTGAGCATGGCGCCGCTGCTGTAATCCTGCCAAAGCCACCGACGGGTGAGCAGCTGCCCTGCGCTGAGCCGCCCCCCACCCCACCCCAGCACCGACCCCGGCTCCACCCACGCCACCCCCGGTGTGGCTGCTGAGACCGGTGCCTGAAATGGCAGTTTTCCTGGCATGACTGCTCCTCCTGGCCTTGCTGACTTGGACAAAACCTCCCAGCTTCTTCTAATTGTAAAGTAACAGATGCCCCTTAAACAAACTTAATAAAGTACCCACGTCACAAAGTAGCAGCAAAGAAGGCAAACCCGTGCTGCACGGGCACGTGGTGTCCTTCTTCACGGTCAAGGCCCTGTGCCACTGAGACTCCTGAGACAGGTCATCCCCACAACCCACCCGGAAACCATTATTTCTGAGGTTTTATTTATCTGAAGGCAGAGTTACAGAGGCAGAGGGAGAGCTCTTCCATCCAATAGTTCATGTCATGTGGTCCCCTCATGACTGACAGGGCCCAAGCACTTGGGCCGTCCTCCGCTGCTTCCCAGGCGTATTAGCACGGAGCTGGATCGGAAGTGGAGCAGCTGGGACTTGAACTGGTGCCCACATGGGATGCTGGCATTGCAGACGGCAACTTAACCATGCTGTCCACAGTGTTGGCCCTATAACAACTCTTACATAACGTTCCCTCTGTTGACAGATTCTGTTTTGGACTTTTTATTATTATTATTATTATCATTTTTTAAATCTTTGAAAATTCAGGTTTATCTCCTGGTAAAAGACTCTAGTAAGTGAAAAACCGAGACTGAGGTCATGAACTCTTTGTCCCCAGCACCAAGCTGCCTGCTTGGAGGCTGTGCAGAGAGCACTGCTCCCGCAGGTGCCGCACAGCGCTGGGCAGGCGCCCCTGCGAACAGTCAGCATCCGGCACAGGGGGACGCTCTGGGTGCCGCACCCCATCCGGGAGCGCCTGGGTGAGTCCCAGAAGGCAGAGGTGATGGCTCGAGTACCTGGGTTCCCGCCACCCACGTGGGAGGCCCAGGCTGAGTTCCCGGCTCCCAGTCTCAGCCTTGCCCAGCCCCAGCTGTTGTGGACGTCTGGGGAATGAATCAGTAGGTAGAAGAGATCTCTTTCTCTCTGCCTTCAAATACAATGAAAATAAATAATTTAAAAATTTTATTTAAAAAACCCCAAGGATGGGGCCAGTGCTGTGGCGCATGGGTTAACCCTTTGCCTACAGTGCCAGCACATCCCGTGTGGGTGTCAGCTCGAGTCCCGGCTGCTCCTCTTCAGATCCAGCTCTTGCTGTGGCATCAGAAAGCAGCAGAAGATGGCCCCCCAAGTGCGTGGGCCCCCGTCCTTGCGTGGGAGACCTGGAGGAAGCTCCTGGTTCCTGGCTTCAGAGTGGCTCAGCTCTAACCGTTGCAGCCATTTGGGAAGTGAACCAATGGATGGAGAGACTTTCTGTCTGTCTGTAACTCTGCTTTTCAAGTAAATAAATAAATAAAAATCTTAAAAAATAGACCACACATGCAAAAACCCCAAGGCTGGCTGGCACTGTGGTGTAGCAGGCGGAGCTGCTGCCTGTGATGCCGCCATCCCATATGGGCGCTGATTCGAGACCTGGCTGCTCCAGTTCTGGTCCGGCTCCCTTCTATTGTGCCTGGGAAGGCATCGGAGATCAACCCAAGTGCTTGGGCCCCTGCACCTAAGTGGGAGACCCAGAAGAAGCTCTGGCCTGGCCCAGGCCCGGTTGTGGAGGACATTTGGGGAGTAAACCAGCAGATAGAAGAGTTCTGTCTGTCTCTCCTTCCCTCTGTAACTCTTTCAAATAAATAAAAAATCAATCTTTAAAAAAGCAAAAACACGGCCGGCGCCGCGGCTCACTAGGCTAATCCTCCGCCTTGCGGCGCCGGCACACCGGGTTCTAGTCCCGGTCGGGGCACTGGATTCTGTCCCGGTTGCCCCTCTTCCAGGCCAGCTCTCTGCTGTGGCCAGGGAGTGCAGTGGAGGATGGCCCAAGTGCTTGGGCCCTGCACCCCATGGGAGACCAGGGTAAGTACCTGGCTCCTGCCATTGGATCAGCGCGGTGCGCCGCCCGCAGCAGCCATTAGAGGGTGAACCAATGTCAAAGGAAGACCTTTCTCTCTGTCTCTCTCTCTCACTGTCCACTCTGCCTGTCAAAAAAAAAAAAAAAAGGCAAACACACACACACACACACACACACCAGTGGTCCATGGCAACCCCAGGCCCCTGCTGACTCCAGATGGATTCGCTTTAATCTACAGATGAAACCTGAGGCACGGGTACCACGGAACAGCAGCTTGAACTTTCTCTTCTGTGGCCTGTGTGTCCACACGGTACAAACCCTGAGGGACTTGCTGAGATTGTAACTCACGTTAGCTGAGCGTCTGCCCTAAGGCCCAGGTGAGAGGCAGCCCCGGCCGCCCAGTGAGCCTGCGCTGGGCCGTGGGGACAGCGGGGGCAGCGACTGTGGGACACGGCCGCCTCACCTTTCTGATCTGCTCCAGCTTGTCGTCGTCCTCCAGGAAGAAGGTCAGGTACATGAAGGAGACGTCCACGTCACAGTTGCCCCCAAACTGCCGGTGCTCCTCGATGGTGTCTCTGCCCCCAGAAAATGCGTGCTTGTTGACCTGCACACGGAGAGGCCCGTCAGCGCTGCCCACCGTGGACCTGGAAACCGGCCAGGAGCACAATGGCGGAAGGGAAGCCAGCGACGGCTCTGAGTCCGTGCTGGAGGAAGGCCGAGGCTCACGGAAGCTGTGGGAACGGGTGACCCAGGAGACAGCTGGGAAAACCAGAGCACCAACTGGGCTGAAATGAGCGGAAACGTCCAGAACCGCAGACAAAGGACGTGCACAAGCCTGCCGTGGGCCGACACCGGGACACGGCCCGCCCTGTGACCGCTGGTGCTGGCTGCTGGGTGGCACAAAGCTGCACCCTCCCCCATGGCCCCTGTCTTCTCTGCCATGGATACAAGCACAAGAGGGCCCACAAAGAACAAACCCCACAAAAAGAGGAGAGACAAGAAAGGACCTGGGCAGGCCTCCGCCCAAACATCCGCAACGTTTCAGGAAGAAGAAAAACTAAGAAACCACCCAGGTGGGTTCTGGGGATCACTGAAGATAATTCTGGATTCCTGAGGCCCCAGAGGGAAGGAAAAGCCAAAGGACAACGGAACTCCGCAGCTCCTCCACTCACAGATGCTGTGCTGATCTGAACAGGGAGAGGACAGGCGGGGCCGCACAGTCCAAGGTGACACGGGCAGCAGTGTCCCTGGAGACTCTGGAGCACAGTGCTGCCTGGGCGGTCTGGGCAAAGGTCATCCTGGACAATGGAGCCACCCCCTTGCTGGGCGCTGCTGGGGAGGGCAGAGGTGCTGAGACGCTAGGGCAAGGCCCAGCAGCAGGGAGGCCAGTTGATGGGTGGGTCTGGGGGCTCCTAGAGACAAATGGCGAAACTTTTCTTTCCTTGAACATAAGTTATTAAAAATCTATGGGAGAGACCAAGTCAACAGAGGAAGGCAGAGCTGCTGCCCGGGATGCTCCTGGGGTCCACGTGTCCTGGGGCTGCTGCTGTGTGACCCATGGAGTCGCTGTCCTGTGGCAGTCACCCCTCCAGCCCCCACCATCAGCTCCTGGGCCAGGCCAGGCCTCACAGCAGAGAGAACAGGAGGCCTTATGCGCTGCACATGTACAATGTGCACTACCCCCGCCCCCAACACAGCGGCCTGCCCCGTCCACGGTGGGCACACGCTTATCGCCAACAACCCACCCGAGGGGAAGGAAGCGAGGCCTCCAGGTCCAGCACTTGCTCTATGGCAGAGCCAGGATGGCTCCTCCTGGTTCCAGCAGAGCTAAGAAACCCTAAGCAGTTTCTGCTGCCCTGCAGCAGACCTGGCCGGCCCTCAGCAGTACTGTGAAGAGGCCCAGTCCATAGGCCCAACTTGCAGGAAACCAACAGGAAATGGGCTTGGAATACGTGGGAGCAGCTTGGGCCCAGTGAAGCAGGGAACGGGGCCAGGAAGGTGGCGTGCACTGGGGGCAGGGACTCGATTCACACTGCACCTCGGCAGTGGACGGCTGGCCCAGCCCCCTGGCCCTGGAGCCTGTGTCGGTGGCCAGGCCGACATCCAGGTTGTGGGTGCGTTTCTGGTAGAAGACGGGCTTCCACATCCACGAGCGCTGCCGGCAGACCCTTCTGCCTGGTTCTGTGGGCCCCAGCAGGGCCCTGAGAGCGCAGGAGAGGCTGCACGCACGGCCCCGCTGTGCACCTGCATCTGGCTCCCCCACCCGGCTGCACGCCACAGCTCACACAGCTTTCACACATGCACTCTTGGAAGCTCCGCCTCGTCTCTGATGCCAGCCCGGCTGCTCCCACTTCACAAATGACGCCTGGACAGCCAGGGTCACTGTCCTGCCAGCAGCAGGGGGTGGCTGCCCTGTGGTATGTGGAAACTGGCCTTCGTCCAGGACCTGGACACAGAGTTTCTGCGTCCCTCGTAACTTCCTAGTAAGTGACAGGGGCATTTTTTGTTATAATATTTGCTTCTGATGCAAACTTCCTAAAACCCTGGAAATTCCCGAGTGCAGGAGGGCCTGACTCTGCCCCGGCTCCTACCTGAGCTCGTGCCAACGAGGTGACTCAGTGCAGGGCCCCTGGATACCTCAGCCTCATGTGGGCTGCTCACCAGAAAAACCAAGTGACGAGGGGCCGGGGCTGGCCGGGCCCTCCAGCGCCGTGTCCCCGCCTCCAGGAGCCTCAACTGAGAACTCTCAGAGGTGCGTGCTGAGGTGCTGTGGGGGTGGGGCTGTTCACCTGCATCCTTTGCCACAGCCTTCAGCAGAACCTGGCACACGCACTCCCCTGGGTCCCGAGAGCTGTTCTAACAACGCTAGCCAACGGCGTCAGCACTGAGCTGCATCGCAGCATGCCAGGTGGAGTCCACTGGAAAAATGCTGGGTGAGGGGCAGAGCCGGACTCTCCTGGGCGGAGGGCAGATGTCCAGGCTACCAGGGGCTGCTGACTCAAGGCCCAGGTTCTGTAAGACCTTAGGGAAGCTGCTGGACCTCTCCAGGCCTTGTCTACCTCAGCCTCCTGGGGTGCCTGTTACGATCCAACCAGATCGTCCAGGTGAGCCTGCGGCAGGGGCTGAGCTCAAACCACGGGTGCCGCTGGCAAGGAGGAGGCTGGGGCAGACGCACTCTCCTCTCGAGTGCAGAGCTGAGCCCTGCAGGTGGGTTCAGAGCAAGGGCCTGGCCCGTGGCCTGCTCCACAGGCTGCTCATGACCCTGAGAGGCTCCGCTGACCCCTGTGGCCCCCGACCCCACACTCACTGCTCACCAAGCCCTCGGCATCTTTGCTGGGCTGTGAGCAAGTGAAAAACGCCAGAGCTGTAAACAGCTTTCAAAACAACTTCGCAGAAACACAACAGAACGGGCGACTGCTCTGCTCTGCTTCTGCTCTCTGTAGGAGTGCAGCGGAAGCGCCGGTCAGAATTGAAAGAAAGGAAAAAGCCCAATTCCACCGCCCCCATGCCACGGGGGAGCGCTGGCAGAGGTCCCTTCCTGGAGGACGGTTTTGGGATGAAGGGCTTCCCTGCTGTCAACGAGAACCTGCATGGGAGGCTTCCGACGGGCTACGAGGCCGGGCCAAGACCCAGCCCGCTGCTTTATGTGTCTCAAACGCAGTTCCCGTGACTCTGCTGCAATCTTTGGCTCACACACACACACTCTGAAGACACGCCAGCAGCCGTGTGCAACAGTGCGGGGTACACAGAGACCGGCGGGGTGGCACTAGGCAGCTCGGGGCCCTGAAAGGAAGACAGCACATGCGATTTCTCCGGTGACTTGACAGATACGCGCTGAGCACCTGGGTGTGGCTGGACAAGACTGTCCTGTGTCTCAGTGAGGGCTCCGAGGGAAAGCCAGCCCTAGTCCCCCCGAGTAATGGCTGCCCACAGCTGGGCTGTGTAACGGCGGCTTCTGGGGGTGGGACCTTGGTGCAGCCTAGCACCGGTGACAGAATGTCAAGGAGGCTCCGGAGCAGGGCCTGGAACAGCCGGTGCTCAGAACAGACGGACACTTTTTAGTGCTTAATGACATCCACGTTGATCATAATTCCAAATACATTGCCATGACTTTGCTTCCAGAACAGTGTCTTGGTAAGAAAAGCAGAAAGTAACAGACCCTGCTGCTTGCCCCCTGCCCAGGCACTGCTCACCTTGGTCTTGATCTGCTTGGCCGTGTCGGTGAGGAAGATGGAGGAGTTGGGGTCACTGGCACTCATCTTGGTCTGGGCGCCCTGCAGAGCAGGGAAGAAGGTCGAGTGCAGCAGGGCCGGTTTAGGATAGCCGATCCTGGGCGCGACGTCCCTGGTCATCCTGAAGTAGGGGTCCTATGGGGACACGGGCCTGGTGAGAGCGGCTGCAACAGGGCAGCCTCTGAGTGATCCCCAGAGGCTCTGCACAGAGCAAGAAATGTGCCCCTCCCCCAGCCCTTCTGCACACCTCCCCCATGGGGGAAACAGAACAAGGACCTGGGCGTGCAAGCCCGAGCCCTGCCTCCTGACCTGGTCAATGGCACAGGGGATGAGGCACTGGATGTCTGCCTGGCCATGGAAGATCTGGGGGAAGGAGTTGCTGAAGGAAGGCGCAGCCTGGATGGCAGGAAAACTGATCTTCCCTGGAAGCAAACGGAACATTCTTACACAGGAGGCCACCTTTGGTCTGGTTAATTAATCCAATTAAAGGAAGGACCAAGAACAAAGATTTTCTCCCCATTGGACTGGCACTGTGGCGCAGTAGGTTAATCCTCCGCCTGCAGTGCTGGCATCCCATATGGGCGCCGGTTCTAGTCCTGGCCGCTCCTCTTCCAATCCGGCTCTCTGCTATGGCCTGGAGAAGCTGTAGAAGATGGCCCAAGTGCTTGGGACCCTGCACCCACATGGGAGGACCCAGAGAAAGCTCCTGGCTCCTGATCAGCCCAGCTCCGGCCACTGCAGCCAATTGGAGAGTGAACCAGCGGATGGAAGACTTCGCTCTTTCTCTCTCTGCATCTCTTCTCTCTGTGTAACTCTGACTTTCAAAGTAAATAAATAAATTTTTAAAAAATAAAAATGCAGGAGGCCACTGTTTTGAACTAAGCTCCTGTACTAGGCCCCAACAGAGAAGGGAGACAGACTTACAGGGCCTCAGAGTGAGCAGCAGGGCCAGTTGCCCTCCTGCAGCACCCCTAGAGTCCACCAAAGGCCTTCCCACACTGACTGGGCTCCTACTAGCAGGTGCAGGAACTCCAAAGCCTGCTTCCATTCTCCCTCTATCTTAAATCCCAGAATGGATGACTGGGAGCGGGGCAATCTTACACACTGACACAGTCACACGGCCCAGAAAAGTGCTGGATATACCACACTGGTTCTTGCAGAGAAAACCCACTCTGAGGATCTGACTTATTTTTAAAATTTATTTGATTTGAAAGGCAGAGAGAATGAGATCTTCTTTCCCGGGTTCACTCCTCAAATGGCCACAATGGCTGGGGTTGGACCCGGCTGAAGCTAGGAGCCCAGAGCTCCGTCACGGTCTCCCACGTGGGTGCAGGGGCCCAAGCATTTGGGTCATCTGCTGCTGCTTTCTCAGGCCATAAGCAGGGAGTTGGATCAGGAGTGGAGCAGCTGGGACTTGAACCAGTGCTCTGAGATGCTGGCATTGCAAACGGTGGCTTAACCCTCTGTGTGCAATTTAGATACTGCAATCGCCAAGATCTCAGAGCCAGCACAAGTCCTTGGGCAGAGGTTTTGAAGATGAAATATTGAAGAGGGGGAGGGAGGCAGAATGAGCATAGGTGAGCTTCCATCTTCTGGTTCACTCCCCAAAGAACGACAACAGCCTGTTGGGCCAGGCGGAAGCCAAGGACCTGATCCTCATCTAGGTCTCTCACAGGGGCAGCAGGGACACAGTACTTGAGCCATCACTGCACATTAGCAGAGAACTTGAGTTGGAATAGAAGCTGGGGACTCCAAACTAGTACTCTGATGAGATGCGAGGAATTCCAAGTGGTGTGTTAACCACTGTGCCAAACGCTCGATCCTGAAGACCTGAGCTTTTAGACGAGGCCCCAGTGCTGTCACCGGGACTCTCAGAAGCAGCTGTCGCCTCCTTTCTGGTGGAGACGGGGAGGGGACCCCAAGCAGCAGGGAGCACCTTACCGATGCAGTCACTGTCGGTGAAGCCGAAGATGCCTTTCACTTGGTTGAAGGTGACGTGCTTCTGAATCTTCACCACATTCTTGTAGAAGCCTGGGCTCATCCTGCAGACAGTCAGAACAAACCCTTAACTGGACGGCGGTCTCCACTGCAGGCAAGCAGCACCCCTGAACCCGGCTGTCAAGGAGACGTGGGGCAGGCCCGCTGCCAGGCCAGACACGGGAGCCCCAGAGCTGCAGAGATGCTCCTGTGAGCAGCCACCTGTGTAGGTGGGGCAGACACCCCGTTACCTGTGTAGGTGGGGCAGACACACCGTTACCTGCACAGATCCCGACAAAGGCAGAAGCCAGTGTGACCCCAGGTGGGAGACAGGGAGACAGGCTAATGAAGCAGGAACACAGCCAGCTGCAGGTGCTCAGTGGCTATCTCAGAACATTAAATTCTGCTGGGGTTGATGGTCCATGTGCTGGGAGTCCCAGTGAGCTTTCTCTAGATGGATGTGCTGGGGACACTGCTCCCTGTGGCCAGATGGAGTATGTGGTGGACATCTACGGCTCAGGCCGAGGGGAGCCTGTCTCAGTGTGGATGGGCTTCTCAGCGTGGGGTTACCCTTTCCCCTCCCCTGAGGAGCCGGGGCCACCCCCAGCCACAGGGTTGGTTCAGGCATCCCGGCTGCTGCCACACTGAAGATGAAGCCAACAGAGACGTGGCCTCTGCACCTTCTGACCGCTGCACCCAGGAGTTTGGCCTCCAGGCCCTGCCACGTCAGGCTCCGCAGGATGGAAAGCACCGTGGGCCCTGTGCTTGCTTCTGCGGGAGGAGCTACGCCAGGGGCTGGGCTGCTCTGGTTGGAGTTACCAGAGGAGGTGACGAGGTCATGGGGCACAGCCTTCGTCAGCGGGAGGGGGCAGCTGGGCTCCCCTTTCCTCCCTTCACACGTGTCTGCCTGCCCTTCCAGCCTCCGGAGCACAGAAGCAGACCTCTGTGCTTTATGAGCTACTCAGTCTGTGTCTTCTGTCAGCACAGCAGCAGGTGCACCAGGACACAGACACACACCAACGCTGGCCACCTCCCGGAGCAGCAGCGCAGCCTCCGTTTCACAGCTGAAGACCGAGGCACAGAGGTTCAAGGTCACAGTCACAGGCCCTGGACCCGGGCTCATTGGCCATGAGGTCTGTGCTTTTCTTACCACATCTTACAGCTTCTGAGCACACGGAGAACTGCTGACTGTCTCTGAGCAGGTGGGAGTGTGGTCGGGAGCACAGGCACACAGGCCTGGAGGGAAGACCACCACGGCGTGGGGTGAGCAGGAGCTTCCGCCGAGTGACCAGTGAAGTTGCACGTCTTGTGGGTGGTACGTGGGCAGGAACACACTGGGGCATCCAGCCCCTGTCATTGTTCAGCACCATGAAAACAAGAGAGTGCAGCCACCCAGGGTCTCCCGGGGGTGGCAGCAGGTCTCAGTCTCAGCCGTGTACCCCGGGGAGGACAAGCAGTGGTCTGCCAGCAGGGCAGGTGGGCGCAGCAGGCTCCACACAGCCACGGGGGAAGCACCAGGGCAAATCAGCCTTCTACCTGGACCCCACCACAGTGGGGTCCCACGAGGAGGGGAGTCTACAGCACCCCCAGCTGTCAGGACTCCAGCTCTCAGGGCTGGGACTGCATTTCTGAGTTAGACTACTTCGTCTTCTTGGGAGACTGGTCCCTTTCTTGCTGTGAACTGCCCACACTGTGCAGACTGCAGGACGAGTGGAAACACTGTGCCACGGGCACGTGTGGCCCCTCACCCCAACAGACACCTGCCCTCTAGGCACAAAGGGACAGCCCTGCTGCCACTGCAGTCCCCACGTCAGTGCCCGCACAGTGTGGCTTCTCAGTGTTGACAAGGAACACACCGACGGCTTCCCATCAACAATCAGGTCACTGCTGCCCAGGGGAGCACCTGCCTTTCACACTCAGGCTTCAACGTGGAACAAGATTTTTGAGGGCGGCCGACGCCGCAGCTCACGTGGCTAATCCTCCGCCTGCGGCGCCAACACCCCGGGTTCTAGTCCTGGTTGGGGCGCCGGATTCTGTCCTGGTTGTTCCTCTTCCAGGCCAGCTCTCTGCTGTGGCCCGGGAAGGCAGTAGAGGATGGCCCAGGTCCTTGGGCCCTGCACCCGCATGGGGGACCAGGAGGAAGCACCTGGCTCCTGGCTTTGGATTGGTGCAGCACACCGGCCGTGGCGGCCATTTTGGGGGGTGAACCAACGGAAAAAGGAAGACCTTTCTCTCTGTCTCTCTGACTAATTCTGCCTGTCAAAAAAAAATATTTTTGAGGGCAACGTGGGTGGTATCTGGCATGGTGAAGCACTTCCCGCGGTCTCGGGACGCTGTACCGCGCAGGCACCACTGGCCTGACCGCTCTGCGTTCCACAGCCTCCTCCGGTCCTCCTCGCACCAATCACCTGGTCATCACTGCAGCCTCATCGCCACCGGCTCACAGCACGAGAAAACAGCCTCCACCCCTGGGGAGAGGTTGTTGGGACAACCGTTTTGTCCCTTGCTGTCTCCCCAGCCTCAGCTGGCACACAGCAGACGTTCAACAAGCATTCACAGACCAAAGCAGCTGAGCTGAGCAGGCAGGAAGTCCCCTCACAGCCCAAGCCACGCAGTAGGTGGCAGGCAGGAAGTCCCCTCACGGCCCAAGCCACGAAGTAGGTGGCAGGCAGGACCTGAACCAGACAGGTGTTCCCAGCTTCTCGCTAGCACCAACCCCTCACTTCATAGGAAAGCACACACTCAGAGACGCCAGGGTCTGTCCAATGCAGGAAGACCACATGGGGACAGGGTGGGGTCTGGAACACAAGTTTCCAGACTCCCAACTTGGTGTTTTTGCATCTCCCATGGTTCCTGGCTGGGAGGTCTCTGTGGGCCCATGTGCAGGGGTCGGGACCAGGCAGGGGAACCCACACTGACTCTCCCCCAGCAGAGGCCACCACTTCTCCCGAGGTGAACAGGGTGTAGGAAAGGTTTCTTCCATTTCTAGCTCCTAAAGAACAGGAAGGAGCTTTTGTTAAGTCAAAGACAGAGTTTGAGCTACACTGAAGAAAGAAAAGCAAAATGTGCAAGTGCTTAGAACAAACGCGTCAACACAGTGAGAAGACTGCATACAGGGTTAACTGTGAAGGTCGCTCCTGACTGCGGGTCCACCCCTCTAAGAGATGCTACACACCCTTTTGGTTGGCCTACAGATTTCCTAGTTTTCATCCTTACTCTATGTTTGCAAAGGAACAGGAAGTTCTCATGAAGCCACGGTGGATTTTTTCCCCAGGTACCACTGAGATGCTGTGGGAACAGCCGCTACCCAGAGGGTGGGTCACTTGGTGGTCTTTCCATACGGACTGCTCCGAAGTTCACGCACCGCCCACTGAGTCACTGTCAGATTTACTGGGCCCCTGTTCCTGTTTTACACCAACCTTTAAATTCAGCAAGGCAGGGACTTGGCCTTGTTCCTGCTGTTTGCAGGGTCACAAGGAGGAACCCTGTGTTCCTCTACGAGGGAGCAGAGGGCCAGCCATCAGGGAGCCACAACGTACCAGACGGGGCAGAGGCGAGGCCCCGGGTGCTGCAGGCCCAGAGAGGGGCCGGGAGGACAGGGTGCTTGAAGTCTGAGGCAGCGTACGAATTAGCCCCGCCGGGGTGGTGGAGTCAGGGGAGGGGATGAGCAGTGCATGTGCTGAGGTAGGGCACAGGACATGCAATTGTCCCTTCCAGTAGGGGGGGCACTGATGCTGCAAAGGGACCCAGGTCCAGGGCTTGTGTGCTGTGTGAGCAGTGAGAACCTCCATCACTGGATGAAGGAGAGCTGGGCAAAGCCCAGTGTGAGATGAGGATGTGATGGGTCGTGGTGGAGTGGCACAGAGGGTCAGCAGTTACTGCGCACGTGGCCAAAGAAGGGCAGCAGCACTCGCGGCATTCGCACCAAGATCTAGGCGGCTGAGTCAGATCATTTTCAGGAATGAGGTGAGAGCAGGAAGCAGTGCCGTGGAAATCCTAGCAACAACAACACCTGCGTGCTCACCCCACCACACTTAGTGCACAAGACTTGCTAGGACATGTGGCCACTATCTGCGCCCATGGCAGAATCAGGAAATGATTAAACAAATAGAACCTTCTAGAGAGATGGTAAAGCAGGCCCCTTTAGTGTTCCATCATACTGACCTTGGTAACTCTAACACAGGAGTGCCCTGCGTTTAGAGCCCCACCCACAGTGAGATGGAGCCTCAACTTGCCCAGTTGGCTCTGCCTTATGGAGAGTATCTTGCTCTGTTTTTGTTTTTTTTTGTTTTTGTTTTAAAGACTTATTTATTTATTTGAAAGTTAGAGTGGCACACAGAGAGAAGGCATAGAGAGAGAGGTCTTCCATCTGCTGGTTCACTCCCCAGTTGGTCCAATGGCTGGAACTGTGCCGATCTGAAGCCAGGAGTCAGGAGCTTCTTGTGAGTCTCCCATGCGAGTGCAGGGGCCCAAAGACTTGGGCTGTCTTCTACTGTGTTCCCAAGCATTGATAGCAGAGAGCAGGATCAGAAGTGGAGCAGCTGGGTCTCGAACTGGCATCTATATGGGATGCCGGCACTGCAGGCGGCAGCTTAACTCACTATGCCACGGCACTGGACCCTGTTCTCAGTGTTTAAGAAGTAGTTGTTGGGCAGAGCACTGTGGCATATTAGGTTAAGCCTCCATTTATGGTGCCGGCATCCCCTGTGGGTGCCAGTTTAAGTCCTGGCTGCTCTATTTCTGATCCAGCTCCCTGCTAATGGCCTGGGAGAGCAGTGCAAGATGGCCCAAGCTCCTTGCGCCTGGCTTCGGATTGGCTCAGCTCTGGCCGTTGTGGCCACCTGAGGAGTGAACCAGTGGAAGGAAGACCTCTCTCTCTGTAACTCTGTCTCTCAAATAAATAAATAAATATTTTAAAAAGATAGTTCATTGCCTGTGAAGATCTTAACAAAATAGTAGCAGTAGTTCCTGGGCCCAGCGCTGCGGCCAGCAGGTCAAGCCCCGTCTGCCACGCAGCATCCCAAATCTCAGGGCCAGTCTGAGTTCAGGATACGCCATCCTTCGCTCTTTTTCTTTCTTTCTCTCTTTCTTTTTTGGTGAAATTTATTTACTTGAAAGTCAGAGTTACATACAGAGAGAAAGATCTTCCACCCACTGGTTCATTCCCCAGATGGCTGCAATGGCCAGGCGGAAGCCAGGAATCAGGAGCTTCATCTGGGCCCCGCACCCGTGTGAGGGACCAGGATGAGGTTCCGGGCTTCTGCTGGCCTCTGTGTGGCTCAGCTCTGGCTACTGTGGTCATCTGGGGAATGAACAAACAGGTGGACGATCTCTCTTTGTCTCTCTCCCTCTGTGTCATAAATAAGTAAATAAACAAACCTTGAAAAAAAGAAGTGGTTGTTGAGCTAAATGCCAAAGTCTTATTTTTCTAGCACATTTCTTGACAACTGCTTGTGCGGAAGACCAAGACCTGAGAAATATTCAGCTACCACATGGCCAATCTAAAAACCAGCCTACGAGGAGGCTGTGTAAGCAGTGAGTCTGTGCTCTGCGTCAGAAGGCACACTGGACTATGTAGCAGTGAGTCTGTGCTCTGTGTCAGAAGGCACACTGGACTGTGTAAGCAGTGAGTCTGTGCTCTGCGTCAGAAGGCACACTGGACTGTGTAAGCAGTGAGTCTGTGCTCTGTGTCAGAAGGCACACTGGACTGTGTAAGCAGTGAGTCTGTGCTCTGCGTCAGAAGGCACACTGGGCTGTGTAAGCAGTGAGTCTGTTCTCTGCGTCAGAAGGCACACTGGGCTGTGTAAGCAGTGAGTCTGTGCTCTGCGTCAGAAGGCACACTGGACTGTGTAAGCAGTGAGTCTGTTCTCTGTGCGTCAGAAGGCACACTGGACTGTGTAAGCAGTGAGTCTGTTCTCTGTGTCAGAAGGCACACTGAGATGGAGAGATCAGGACTGTGCAGACTGCCCACCTCTGCAGAACAACTGTGACACAAAGCACTCCTCTGCCACAAGCTGAGGATGAAAATCCATCCACGAGGCCATCATGCTACGTCTGGGCACATTTGAGGAAATTAGAAGTTTATTTTGGTGCAAAAAATTGAAACCCATACACATGATGGGTCTTCAAAATGTTCATGGAAAATATATATTAGAAAAAAAACTACATATGGATTTAAAAATTTCTTGCACCAAAATGGCTTAATCTTTAATTTTGTTTTTCCATGAACTTTCTGAAGTACTCTTTCTTCAAATTTCTAAGAATCTAATTATGAAGACAATAGTTAACAACTTAAAGAGGCTGACATTACCCAATCTTGCTATGTGTGCATAGCTTTCCACTTTCAAAACACTAGCAAATAGAATAATAAACCAGATCATAACATTTAATAAGGAAGGAAAAACATTTACCAGGCCTTACAGCCATTTCAGATGCTTTCGAGTTTGGCTGTGGTCACGAAGGCTTCCCATCTGCATCTACTTATTAAAAAGGCAGCCAGGCCTTCTCTCCTTACCCCATGTAGTCAAGGTCAGAGAAGATGAACGTCTTGTTGACATCGAAGCCACAGGCGATGATGTCCTTGGCGTTCTCCAGGGTGTAGCCATAGACCTGCTCCAGCGTGAGGTCCTTCCACAGGTACTTCTCGTCATCCGACATCTGCACCACCAGCGGCACGTCAAACACATCCTGCAGCCACCTGGAGGAACAGGGCAGGAGCCTGGCTCGTCCAGGCTGGAACGTCCTTGCCTCCAAAACCTGCCTGCTGACAAGGGCCCTACTAAGAGGTTCTGGGATAATTTTAGGAGGCAGTTTTTTTTTTTTTTTTGAATATTTATCTATTTATCTGAAAGGCAGAGTTACAGGGAGAGAGGACAGATACAGAAAATCCTCCACTGGCTGGTTCACTCCCCAAATAGCCATAATAGCCAGGGTTGGATCAGGCTGAAGCTAGGATGCCGGACCTCCATCAGGGTCTCCCACGTGGGTGGCAGAGGTACAAATACTTGGGTGATTTTCCACTGCTTTCCCACACACATTAGCAGGGAGCTGGATCAGAAGTGGAGCAGCTGAGACCTAAAGTGGTGCTCATATGGGATGCTGGTGTCACAGGTGGCAGCTTAACCTGCTGTGCCACATGCTGGTCCCCAGGAGGTATTTTAAAAAGAGAGAGAATGTTCCATTTTCTGGTTCACTGCCCAAACGCCCGACAGTCGAGTCTGGGCCAAGCTGAGGCCAGGAGCCAGGAATGCCACCCTGGTCTCCCACAGGGGACCCACTACCTGAGACATTTCCCGCTACTTCCTAGGATGTGCGTTAGCAGGGAGCTGGCCTGGAAGCGAAGCTGGGACATGAGCCAGGCACTACACACTTGGGATGCAGGTATCTCAAGTGACCGCTAACCACTGGGCCACACGCCTGCCTCCGGAGGCAGGTATTATCGTTCTCAGCTTGCCAATGTGGAATCTGCAGAAATGTGGCTGGCCGCTGGCCGCACAGGCAGGAACAAGATGGGCTGTAGAGAGGTCTGGCTGGCTGCAGAGCCGTGCTCTCCCCATCACCCCACGTTACTCTGAATTGAGCCCAAGCAAAGTGAGTGCAAGTCACAAAGGGGCCAAGCCCAGCATAGCAAACGTGGAGCAGCATAGCAAACGTGGAGCAGCACAGCAAACGTGGAGCAGCACTGGCTGTCAGCTCTGAACAGGGTTTGCAAGTACATTCATTTCAACAAGAAGGTGAGCGAAGCCATGCGGTGCAGTACTTACTTTGTGAAAATAAACGGGATGAGGTGACCTACATGCATTGCTTCAGAAGAGGGGCCCCTGCCCGTGTACAGGTAAAACGGCTTCTTGTTCTCGTAGGCATCAAGAACTTGGTTCATATCTCTGAAGGAAAAAGGAGAAAAGGAAACTGTGATTCTCTGCGAATAGTACCAAGGCACTAATGTTTATTTGGAAATGAAAAGTAAAGACAGAGACAAAACAGCAACGAAAACTAGTTTGTTGCTTTTTATCGTTAAGGTACAAAAGTGACAGGGTCTGCTGCTGCAATGGTTTCCCTGTGAGTTTTAAAAGGATAAGACATGCAGGTGGGGAAGAGTGTTTAAAAGGTGGATACGGCTGGGCAGCCAATGGCCTCTTTGGGAATGCTTCCAAACATCAGCACTGGTGCACTGTGAACACCACAAACTTCCCTGGGGACCGAGACCAACACCACACCTCCCTGTGTGGCATCACCCAGCATTTCCCAGACACATCAGCAGGGAGCCAGATTGGAAGGGGAGCAGCTGGCGCTGGAACCATCACCCATATGGGATGCTGGCGTTGCTGGGCATGGCTTTAGCCTGCTGTGCCACAGCACTGACTGCCCCTGGGACGCTTTTTAAGAAAACAAATTCTCTGGGCCAGCGTTGTGGCCTAGCAGGTTAAGCATAGGAACGTCACAGGGTTGCATGCAGGGAGGAGAATGTCCGCTGGGAACTCAGAGGGGAAGTCCCTCGCTGGAGACCTGACTTGGGCCCTCAGCCGGGACCAGGTGTCCTCGCTGTGTCATTCTGCAGTCCCCTCCTCCCCAGGACGTGAGAGCTCTCCCTGTTGGTTGTGTGGCAGGGACACCAGGCAGGGCTGTTTTCCAGTCATAGCTGCCTGGGCCTTCCTCCAGATTCCTTTTCACTGGTCTCAGGTGATGTGTGAGAATTTGTATTCTTTTTAAAAACATTAAAAAAAATTATTTGGAAGGCAGAGTTACAGAAAGAGGAGGAGGATGAGGAGGGAGGGAGGGAGAGGGAGAGAGACAGAAAATCTTCCATCCACTGGTTCATTTCCCAAATGGCACAACGGCTGAGACTGGGCCAGGCCAAAGCTAGGCGACTGGGGCTTCTTCCAGGCTTCTCACGTGGGTGCAGGGGCCCAAACACTTGGGCCATCTTCCGCTGCTTTCCCAGGCTCATTAGCAGGGAGCTGGATCAGAAGCAGAGCAGCCAGGTCTCAAACTGGCACCATATGGGATCCCAGCTTTGTGGGTGGAGGCTTAACCTGCTAGGCCACAACGCTGGCCCAGAGAATTTGTTTTCTTAAAAAGCGTCCCAGGGGCAGTCAGTGCTGTGGCACAGCAGGCTAAAGCCATGCCCAGCAACGCCAGCATCCCATATGGGCGATGGTTCCAGTGCCAGCTGCTCCCTGCTGATGTGTCTGGGAAAGCAGGCCGCTGGGGCCATGTGGGAGTGAACCAGCGGATGGAAGACCCCTCTCTCCCTCTGCCTTTCCTTCTCTCTCTGTGTAACTCTGACTTTCAAGTAAATAAATAAATCTTTAAAAAAAAACCTGCTGAGACAATTGGATATCTCTATGGAAAAGAATAAAGTTGGAGCACTACTTCATCCATACACAGAAATAAACTCAAAAAAAGATCAGAGACTTAAGTGGAAGAGCTAATACCACAAAACTCTTAGAATAAAACATACGTGTAAATCATTATGACCTTGGATTAGGCAAAAGCTTCCGAAATATAATACTCAAAGCACAAGTAAACTGACATCATCAAAATAAAAAAATTCAAAGGACATTACCAATAAAGTAAAGACAGCCTATGTAATAGGAGAAAATATTTGTAAGTTACATACTGATAAAAGCTAGAATTAGCATCCAGAATGTACAGGGGATTACTGGAACTCAACAATAAGAAGACAAACAACCTATTAAAAAGTAGGCAAATAATCTGGACATTTCTCTTAAGAAGAGATAAAAATAGCCAATAGGCACATAAACAGATGATCATCACTGGTCATTAGGGAAATGGAAATCAAACAAGAAGGTACCACTATAAAACAATAACAGACACGAAATAACGAAGCTGGTGAATATGTGCAGAAGCCGGAACCCCGTACACTGATGGTGGAAGTGTAAAATGATGCAGCTGCCACGGAGAACGGTTGTTGGGTCCTCAAAAAGTTAAAGAGAATTATCACACGAGTTCTCAACTCCACTCGCAGGTACACCCCGAAGACTGATGCACTACATACATGCCCAGGGCAGCATTACTGAAACCCTTAGGCGAGACTATCCCAGATAAGCAACAAAGAAGAAATTCCATTCAATGGATTAGTATTTGGAAACGAAAAGGAAAGGAGCGCAGATGGGCTCCTACTCTTGAGGACTCGCGTGGGGGAGCGAAGGCAGCCCCTGCAAGCATTGTGGTTTCCACCTCAGCCCCAGTCAGGAGCTCCGCCAGGGAGCCAGCGTGGCACTGGGCACAAGGCTTCGTGTTAGGTGACTCTGCCCTTCAATGCGGTGACGTATTTAAGGTAGTCTCAGAACACTGGAAAGCAAAAGCAGCAACATGTCGTGTCTCCCACAACAGGCAAACCCGGGGACAGCACACAGACGCGTGGTGGCTAGCGCTGAGGGGAACCACCACCACCACCACGGGCAGAGCTTGCTTTCTGGGGAGATGGAAATGTTCTAGAATTAGGTAGCTGCGGTGATCGTACAACTCTGTGAATAGACTAAAACACACTGAATTATATACCTCAAAGAAAGGTGCATTTTATGATTTGTGAGTTAAATCTCCGTGAAGGAAAGAGCAGGCTGCGCGGGCCCGCAGGCCTCTGCAGGCAGGAACGAGCGCTGGGCAAACAGCCGAGCCCCACCTGAAGACGCTCTCCTGGAACCACGAGAGCAAACAGCACAACCCCACCTCAGACCATAAATTCCAGGAACATAGGCGTGAAAGGGGCTTGCCCAACCCAGGTAATCTGTGCAGCGGGAAAGGCAGAAACTCTCGGAGTCTGCCATCTGTTGAGGTTATTTGTGTGGAATTTATGGCCCGAGGTAGGGAGACTGTTCCATTTCACCCTCTGTTAGTTTCTCTTTCGAAATTATTTATAAGCAGACTGGTACAATAGGGGGAAGAGGAATAAAATTTCAGGAAGCCTCCTGTTTACTGCAGGGGAAATGCTGGACCTGGACATATTAATCCTTTTGTTTACGTGACACTTAAAAATGTACAGCATGTGATTTGGCATGGATCTCACCGCCTATGAATCTGACCTCCACCCTGGGAGGTGGGCAGTTCACAAATGAGTAAACCAAAGGCCTGAGGGTGAAGGAACGGGCAGGACCCCACAGCGAGCCATCGACAGAGGTGGAGCCCGGGCTTTCCCAGAGCAGCAAGCACAGCTTCGGGGAGAGGCGGGGCAGGCGGGGCTGGCGGGGCTGGCGGGGCTGGCGGGGCTGGCGGGGCTGCGGGGGCTGGCGGGGCTGGCGGGGCTGCGGGGGCTGCGGGGGCTGGAGGGGCTGCGGGGGCTGCGGGGGCTGCGGGGGCTGGCGGGGCTGGCGGGGCTGGCGGGGGCTGCGGGGGCTGGAGGGGCTGCGGGGGCTGCGGGGGCTGGAGGGGCTGGAGGGGCTGCGGGGGCTGCGGGGGCTGGCGGGGCTGGCGGGGCTGCGGGGGCTGGAGGGGCTGGAGGGGCTGCGGGGGCTGGCGGGGCTGCGGGGGCTGGAGGGGCTGGAGGGGCTGCGGGGGCTGCGGGGGCTGCGGGGGCTGGCGGGGCTGCGGGGGCTGCGGGGGCTGCGGCCAGGATGCCCACCTGTGTGAGAAGAAGATGCCCCTGCGCAGGAAGCGGTGCGGTCTCTGGCCGGTGGCTCTCTCGATCCGGTTCACCAGCTCCTTGTCGATTTTACTGCTTCCGAACTGAACTGGAAACAAAATTGGAACACACAAGAGATGACCTTCTCAGGGGCAGGGGATTCGGGGATCAGCTACTCATGAGTGTTAATGAACCGCACCTCCCCAGGCTGTGGCTGTCTGTCCTGGTCCTTCCTCCCAGCTAAGAACACAGTGCAGTGAGCAGTTTTTGGCAACCACATCTTCACACATAGTTACCCGCTAGGGCCTAATTCCTATTCATTGACAACCATTATTTCTCTCACTTTATGGACAATCCACACATGAATCTCACTCAAAGACATTTCAGTTCTGGGACGGGTGCTGCGGAGCAGCGGGTCACACTGCCACTTGTGATGCCACCAGCACCTCTGCTGCTGTTTCTGATCCAGCTTCCTGCTGAGGCACCTGGGACGGCAGTGGAAGATGGCCCAAGTGCTGCTACCTACATGAGAGACCAGGCTGGAGTTGCTGGCTCTTGGTGTTGGACTGGCCCAGACCTGGCTGTTGCAGCTGTTTGAGGAGTGAGCCAGCAGAGGGAAGATGTGTCTCTCCCTTTCTTTCCGCCACCCTGCCTTTCAAATAAATAAATAAACCTAAAAATACTGAAAACCATTTGAAGTCTGTTTCTTCTTGAACATCATCAATGGTCTCAGCATGAGCAGCCTCAGCTGGAGGGCACTGGCTGCTCCTGACGAGGCCCCTGAAGGCTTTGACGGGAGGACTGGCCACCTGTGAAAGGTCACTGTTATTCTTTTTAAAATATTTTTATTTATTTGAAAGGCAGAGTGATCTATCCATCTATCCATCCAGCTATCTATAGAGAGAGATCTTTTATCCCATTTACTCCTCAAAATGGCACCAATGGCTGGAATTGGGCCAGGCCAAAGTCACAAGCCAAGAACTCCATGTGGGTCCCCAACACAGGTGCAGGGGCCCAAATACTCGGGCCACCTTTTGCTTCTTTCCCATCTCATTAGCAGGGAGCCGGACTGGAAATGGAACAGCTGGGACTCAAAACTGGTGCTTCTACGGGATGCTGGTGTCACAGCCGGCGGCTTAACTTTCTGCACCGCAATGTCAGCCCCAGGCCACCCTTCTTTTTGCTCCACAATAAATATTACTGGAGGCGAAATTTAGGTAATCTAGGATGGATTTGTAACCATGAAATGTAAAAGAATCTAAGATCACAAAGATGCCCATTCAATAGATCTTTTCTAAGTTCTGATTGTTAACCTGACTACCATAGTCTATTATTTTGAAATAAGTTTTATATTATTACTTTATTGATGAATAGTTATTTGGTAATATAATATACAACCAAAAATTTTAGGATCCATTTTTTGTCTTCGCATTGAAGCGTCACTGGATTTATCATTAATTCAGAAATTAGAACATCAGTGGTCATTCCTAAAGGCCGAGGCCTTTCCTGGTACAGATAGCAGAGACGCACCGATGAGCTTGTCGTAGTCAATGCCTTTCGCACTGCTCGTCCGTACTGTCCACGGGTCCACAAAATCCTCTTTGTCATCTACGGCTTCTGGGTCACCGTGGCTGTCGGGGGTCGAGTTCCCTGGAGGGCAGTCAGCCTTGTAGTCCTCCCCCATGGCCTCCTTGTAGCTCGTTTTTAACGACAGCAACATCTTTACTGCAGAATCAATTTCCTCCTGCAGAAATAAAGGGAAGGCTAAAATCATTGACAGCTAGAATCTGTTGAATGTCCACCACGTGGTGGGCGCCATGCTATCACACGCACTGCCTCGCTCAGCCTCACACAAACCTACGAGGTCGGCCGCACTGCCGCCGTCTTTCTGCAGCTGAAGACTCCGAGGCGCCGAGAGGTAGAGGAGCTCGCTTTGGGTGCACGGCAAGTCATGGCTCAGGTGTGCTCTGTTTGTGTTTGTTATTCTAGTGCTGCGGATCACCGCAACAAACACATGGGCAACGGTGACATACGGCTCACAACACAGCAGACACTGCTCACAACACTGACGCCAGAGAACATGCGTGGAAGCTCCTGTGTTGAGTAGACGGAGTTTCACTGTGGCACGTGTTTATTTCACACAGGTTGGGATGAATATGTATGGAAACTTAACCAATGATGCCATCAAGGATAGCAACAGTAACTCAAACAGATATCATGAATAGCATGAAAACAGATAAAAGCAAGGGAAAAAAATAGGTTTTGAGGAGAGATTAACTGGGAAACAGTTTTGGAGTCTTATCAAGCTGTTTGATGTATTTACATATCTATTATTTCAAAATGAACATAAGAAAAACAAATGTAAAATGAGCCCTTGGGTACTTTGGAAGTCTATTAAAGACCTCTGGGGGGCCACCTGCAGTGCCGGCATCCCATATGGGCGCTGGTTTGAGTCCCAGCTGCTTCACTTCCTATCCAGCTCTCTGCTATGGCCTGGGAAAGCAGCAGAAGATGGCCCAAGTCCTTGGGCCTCAGCACCCACGTGGGAGACCTGAAGTAGTTCCTGGCTCCTATGGTCATCTGGGGAGTGAACCAGTGGATGGAATACCTCTCCTTCCTCTCTCTCTCTTTTAAATAAATAAAATAAATCTTAAAAAAATAAAGACCTCTGTCCTAGGAGCCTAAACTGGGCACCCCTGAAAGCCTGGTACTGAAAAGAACAGGCTTAATTTAAGCACTAGTCACGCTATGGCCTAAAGCTCTGCTCTGGTAATCGGCCTTGATAGACTGGATCACAGTCCAGTGGCTTGCCAAGGGGAATACAAGCGTTTCCGGCACCATGAACTGGGCTGCACCACCTCCATTCAGAGATGTTCCTTCAGGTACAGCCCCCAGGTCACACGGGGCTGTGACTCCAGGTGGTCTGTGCTTCAAACGATACAATTATCTGGAGTTCATCAGGAAAACAGATTGTGGAATCAATTAACCCCACAGATACGACCAACGTTAACAGATAAGGTGCTGGCCAGGTTAGATAAGCATGTGTCATTCACCTCACTTCTACAGTGCCTGGTGCTCGTGACAAGATAAAGCTTGGTCAGCAGCTCTGCTGAACCCCTGTTCCGGAGTGCACTGGGGTGAGTCTCCGTCCATCTCCAGCTGTGCTCCAGTTCTGCTGCACCCGAGTCTCCATGAGAGTCACACAGTCAGTGCCCTGCTCAAGGACTCTGCAGTCTGCAGGGGGCTAACTCGACGAGCAGGCTCCACCTTGTCTCCTACTCTGCTCTCAGCCTACCATGGACCAGGGCACTGAAGCAGCACTTAGAAGCTGGGATTGTATGCTACCATGGAGCAGGGCACTGAAGCAGCACTTAGAAGCTGGGATTGTATGCTACCTGGGACAGAACTTCCCAGCGTGGCGGGAGTCAAGCTAATCCTGACGGGGCGTGAGGATGGCTCCCAGGTGCTGCCCTGCTGACAGTCACACAGGTGTGACCATTTTGTGGAAATTCAATGAGCTGTCTGCTTAGGACCACCCCTACTCTCTTACCAATGGTATAATCCAATCTAGAAAGTTCCCTTTAACTAAAGGAGAAGAGGCAGGCGTCGTGCACACCAGGTCAAGCCACTGCTCGGGAAGCCTGGATCTGGAGTGCCTGGGTTTGCGTTCCACCTCCGCCCTGAATCCAGCTTCCTACTGATGCATCTCTGGGAAGCACCTGATGATGGCTCAATTACTGGGGTTCCTGCCACCCTGGCAGGGGACCCGGGGGAGCTCCTGCTCCTGGCTGATGCAGGCATCTGGGGAGTGAACCAGTGATCGAAGGTCTCTTATCCCTGTCTCTCCCCCTCTCTTTCTGTTACTCTGCCTTTCAAACAAACAAATATTTTATTAAGAAAGTGGACTTTTAAAGCATCAAGTGCTCCTATTACAAACACTTTTCAGCGTCAGATAAAAATTTCCTTCTGAATTTTCATTATTTAACTCTAGTCTGAATGCATAGACCTCTGAACTCTCTTGTATGTTATAGTAATTGTAGTAGTCAAAGAATACACTTGGAAGTTATTTTAAATTGAATTACATATTGGTTATTGACTAAAATAATGAAATAAATGTAGTCAATAATAAATACTAAAACATTTTATTAAATGTTATTCAATGTTTTTAAGATTTTTATTTTATTTAGTTGAAAGAGTGAGAGAGAGGTAGAGACAGAGAGGTCTTCTATCCGCTGATCCACTCCCAAATGACTGCAGCTGCGCTGATCTGAAGCCAAGAGCCAGGAGCTTATCCAGATTCAGGGCTCCCATGTGGGTGTGGGGACTCAAGGACTTGGGCCACCTTCTACTTTTCCAGACACATTAGCATGGAACTAGATTGGAAGTGGAGCAGCTGGGACTGGAACTGGCACACATATGGGATGCTAGCGCTGCAGACCAGGGCTTTAATCCGCTGTGCCACAGTGCCAGCCCCAAATTTAATGTTATGTGGTCAAAAACACCACTGTCAACCTCCAAATGGGCTTACGGAGGGAACGGTCAACATTTGAGTCCTTTATTTTAGACTTCTGTTTCAAAATAATTTAGCCTAGTCCACTGGTGAGTAAACCTCATTGTGTAAAAGATAATCAATTTCTCTTTTTCCTCTTCTTCCCATTTTATTTGAAAAGCAGTGAGGGGGCAACAGGATTTTGGAAGCAGGAAGCTGATGGGTGGCTTGTGCATGAGCACGTGAGAAAAAACAAATGCTTTGATGCGGTGGAGTCCGGGGCAGTGACTGCACGCACACTGCCAAGCCATCAGCCAACAGCGGCCGCGGTACTCACGGGAGTGAGGGCAAAGAAGTAGGAGCGCTGGCTGAAAGTCTCTCCAAGAAGCAGTTATTCAGACCACCTGTACCCTCCACCGGCCAAGGAAGGACCAGAGCAGACCTACGTAAGACTGGCACACAATGAACACACGGCGGCCACGGTCAGTGAGGAGGACAGCCAGTGAGCTTGTGTTTCCACTTCCTGGTGTCACTGCTCAAGAACTGGCGGAACGTATGGGCTTGCTACAAGAGCACCACAGCGTGCCAGCCGCAGCGGCCACTGGAGGGTGAACCCACGTAAAGGAAGACCTTTCTCTCTCTGTCTACGCTGCCCGTCAAAAAAAAAAAAAAAAAAAAGAGCACCCTGGGCAAGCCCTGCACATGCTAAAGAAAGCCTAGTGCCAGCAAGGAAGGGGGCAGCCTGCTTACTCTGGATCAGATAGAACCTCCACCGTAACCTGTCCTCCCTCACGCACACAGCACCCAGCGGCGGCAATGCTCCTCACTTAAAACACTGGCAGACAGTGAGAAACACTGAGCACTGGTCACCTCGAGAGGAAAGGCAGTGAGAAAAGTGAGAAACACCAACCCGGAGGAGGCTGGGATTATGAAGTGGGAGAACACCCAGCGACCTCAGAGACAACAGGACTGTACTACAGCTCGTAGGAGCAGCATGCTGGAGACAGTCAGAGACCACAGGACTGTACTACTACTCGTAGGAGCAGCACGCTGGAGACAGCCAGAGACAACAGGACTGTACACCTCGTAGGAGCAGCACACTGGAGACAGCCAGAGACAACAGGACTGTACTACTACTCGTAGGAGCAGCACGCTGGAGACAGTCAGAGACAACAGGACTGTACTGCAGCTCGTAGGAGCAGCACGCTGGAGACAGCCAGAGACAATAGGACTGTACTACAGCTCGTAGGAGCAGCACGCTGGAGACAGTCAGAGACAACAGGACTGTACACCTCGTAGGAGCAGCATGCTAGAGACAGTCAGAGACAACAGGACTGTATTACACCTCGTAGGAGCAGCACGCTGGAGACAGACAACAGGACTGTACTACACCTCATAGGAGCAGCATGCTAGAGACAGTCAGAGACAACAGGACTGTACTACACCTCGTAAGAGCAGCACTGCTGGAGACAGTCAGAGACCAAATGAGCTCTTGGAAGTTAAAAATGACAGAACACAAAACAAACAAACAGGACTAACAGTTGAGGACCTACCCTTGAAGAAGAATAAACAGAAAATGATATGGAAAATAAGTCAAATCACAGGAAGATCAGAGGAACAGTCTGAGAAATGTCTGTAAAGAGGGAGGAAACAGATCAAAGAAGCTACGTGACTTCTGAGAATTAAAGATCATGGATTTTCAGTGAGAGGAATACTGAGCCTCGATCCACAAGATGCCAGATGCTGGAACAGAGAAGATCCTGCCAATTTCCAGAGAAAAAACAACGGAATCATCCCTGACGCCTCCATGTCAACGCCAGCAGCCAGGAGGAGGTAGGGCAAGGGCTTCAGAACCCCACTCTAGAACTCCATATCCAGTTAGTCATCAAGTGTTAGGTAAGAGAAATATACTTTAAGATGGCTAAGATCTCAGAAAGATTTCTCATTAGCACTACTTTTCTCAGAAACCACTGGAAGACTTGTTCTGCCAAAACAAAGTAAACCAAGGAGGAATGACCCAGGACCAGGAAACAGGGAACCCACCAGAGAGAGGTGGACGGAGCCTGAGTGGACAGTGGAAGATTCTAATATGGGAGGCCAGCAGGCAGAGGGCCCCAGGAGAGGCCTACAACAAAGATGAACTTGACGGATAAGCTGATGTGAGCATGTTGGGAGGGGATTCGACCGACCAGAAGAGCGCTTGGATGCATGGGCAGTCATGCACCATCCAACGGCAGGATCCATTCTGAGCACTGTGTTGCTAGGCGCTTCTGCCATTGTCTGTGCTGACAAACCTAGATGCCGTGGGCTAACCAGCCGACATGGCTTCTTGATGCAACCAAGAGTCTCGGTTAACAGGAGACGGATGAGGCTGCTGCCAGGGCCACACAGCAGTTCTTTAGCCAACTTTTTATTATAGCCATAGATTTTTTTTATAGCCATAGAAAGTATGCTTGATAAACTAGTAACATGGTTATCTATTAAACACTTTTTATAACCCCAGAAAGTATGTTACAGTAAACCATTAACATGGCCACCTATCATCATTGTCAAGTAGACGTACCATATGTAATCAATCGTACGTTCCCTGGCAGTGCGATGGATGTGTTCACACTAGCTACACCGCAGACACGTATGCAACGCACTGTGCTGATTTAAGATGGCATCAATGTCACAGATGACAGGAATTTTCCAACTCCATCAGAATCTTACCCCACCACTGTCACATATGCAGTCCTCTGCTGACCAAAATGTCATTACATGATGCAACACTGCGGATCGTTAGTGCATTGAAAAGTCAAGCAAACAGACATTGAGACAAATATTAACTCTAGAGAAAACAAAAGCTGATCAGGAAAGAAAAGGACTCACACTACACTTGATGGTTCAGCTGTGTACACTGTTTATACAGTCATAATAGTGTCAACAGTTCACAATGACCTGATTACTACTGCAGCATACTCTAGGAGACTGGAGGCACAGGGAAGGTGCAAGAAATCAGAAATTCTACAGTGAAAGCTCCAAACCCGAAAAACAAGAGGGGCATTCAGAAGGCTCATAGAAAAATGTGTATTATGAGAAAATTATGCATAATATAAATATTTTTGTACCAAAATAAAAATCTTTTAATTCAATTTTTCTGTGGACTTTTTGAAGTATCCTCGCATAATAAGAATAATATTTAGAGATATGGGGGTCACATATCCAGAGAATCAACCAGAGGAACCGATAGTGTGTGTGTGTTGGAGGGGAGGACACGGGCTGGGCTGCTGTGTTGCACCTGCCAGCGCTGCCTCTCTGGATCCGACCAGCCTTAGAGGGAAAATGTTTGGAAAACAAAAGAAAACCTCTGTGCTGCACTGTGCAGACGTTGTTTTCATTCATTATCCCCTAAACAGACTCTGGTAGTTATTTACTGTGCTGGCTACGGTTCGTAACACAGAGACAAGGCAAGGGCGAGGAGGATGGCTACACCATTCCACACAACACTTAACCACAGGAGGTTCTGGAAGCAGTCCTCCCAGGATACCAAGGGACAACTGTATGTCACACAGGCTTTGACACCTGCTGGCATCACCACGTTGCTAAGGGAAAGCCTGCAGTCGAGGGAACGGCTACTTCTGGAGTAACACAGCACTGTGCACTGAGAGGCGTGTGTGGAGGCCCGGCAACGTGGCTCACCTTCGGGGCCTTTCTAGCTTTGAGGGACTTCACGAGCTCGCCCTGCGCCGCGATGCTGCTGAACAGCTCCTGTGGAGAGGCACACCGCTCGCCGTTGGTCACGTCCGCCATCTTCCAGCACTGACGCTCACAGCTGGCTAGGGAGGAGGAGGAGCTGTCCAGGGTCAAGGCAAGCCTGAGGGGGAAAGAGAGATTAACAAACCTTGCAGCTGTTTATTCCTTTCCTGTATCTATGCTCTCCTCTTTTAAAGATTTGCTTATTTACTTCAGAGTGAGAGAGAGAGGGGTCTTCCTCGGCTGGTTTCCTCCCCAAGTGGCCGGGCCAGGCGCCAGGAGCTTTACTTGGGTCTCCTCACGCGCAGCAGGGGCCCGAGCACTTGGGCCATCCCCCACTGCTTTTCCCAGGCCACTAGTGGGGAGGGGGATCGGAAGTGGGACAACTGGGACACAAGCCAGTTCTCATATGGGATGCTGGCGTTGTCTTTACCCACTATACCACAAAGCCAGCACCATATCTATTCTTCTAAAAAGGTAGTGATGTAGGTTATATAAAGGACATGGATAATATTTTTTAAAAAATATTTGTGCATTTATCTGAAAGTCAGAGTTACACAGAGAGAAGGAGAGGTGAGAGAGAGAGAGAGAGAGAGAGAAAGAGAGAAAGGTCTTCTATCCACTGGTTCACTTCCCCATTGGCTGCAACGGCCAGAGCTATGCCAATCTGAAGCCAGGAGCCAGGAGCTCTGGGTCTCCCATGCGGGTGCAGGGGCCCAAGTATGTGGGCCACCCTCCACCGCGTTCCCAGGCCACAGCAGAGAGCTGGATTGGAAGTGGAGCAGCCGGGACTAGAACCGGCGCCCACATGGGATGCCGGCACTGCAGGCGGCATCCTTACCCGCTATGCCACTGCACCGGCCCCAATATTAATAAAAACATAAGCAGAAATTTGGGACCACTAAAAAGAGGAAGAACAAATGCCAGTAAGGAGGTCTACAGGAATTGCTATGGTTTCTTGACTTGAGATCCGTGGAGGATCTCTGTTAGTTAAGAGCAAGTTTGTGTCCCTGTGCCACACTCAGTGCCCACAACACAGAAGGTACTTGTGTTTTCTCTGGGAATAAACACCAATAATTATTTAATAAACCCAGGTTCTTCATCTTTTTAAGTAAATAATTATTTTCATTTTTATTTGAAAGGGGGAGGAAGGGGGGCAGAGAGAGGAGAGAGAGAGAGAAGAGAGAAAGAGAAGAGGGGGAGAGAGAGGGAGCAAGGGAGGGAGGGAGGGAGGGAGGGAGAGAGGGAGAGAAAGAGGGAGAGAGAAACTTTCATCTGCTGGTTTACCTCCCAGATGCCTACAACAGCCAGGGCTGGGCCAGGCTGAAGGCAGAAGTCCAGAGGCCATCTGGGTCTCCCACAGAGGCAGCAGGGCCCAGGTGACTAGGCCATCATCCGCTGCCTCTCAGGGTGAGCATTAACAGGAATCTGGATTGCAGGCAGTGCAGCCAGGACTTGAACCAGGCACTCCAATATGGGATGCAGGCATCCCACGCAGGGACTTAAACATCTGCCTGTTTATTCTTTTTTTTTTTTTTTTTTTTTAATTTGAAAGGCAGAGTGTGAGAGAGAGCAAGATCTTCCATCCAATGATTTACTCTCCAAATGCCCACAACAGCAGAGACGTGGCCAGGAGCCAGGAATTTCATCTGGGTTTCTGACCTGGGTGGCTTCCCGGGGACATCAGCAGGGAGCTGGATTGAAACTGCACCCTGGGCACTCTGATATGCAGTGTGGGCACCCCCAGCCACAATGCCCCACTCCCCCGTCTGTTCTTCAGCTATTAGACAGCCTTAGGGAAGAATGCCCAGGCTTTTAGGGCCTTAACCAATTGTCCCTGCTAAGCAAATGGCTTCCACTGCTGACCGCTGCCCTGTTCTGAGATCTGGGATGCAGCGCAGGGTCTTTCCTACGCTGGCTTCCAAATGAGGTGAGGACTATACACAGCCTGCCCATCCCACATGCTTCCTCATTAGTCATTATTCTTAGAAATTTCGAAAAAGGTGGGGCCCAGGACAAGTAGAGATAGGGCCACCATCAGTCGCTGTCACTTCCCCTTCCTGAGTGTATCTCTTCATCTCCACAGGGGCACCATTAGGCTCGCCTTCAGCTATCTCACAGGATGAGAGCATCCTACGCTTGTTTTTGTTTGCTAGAGCTGTAGCACCCACACCAGTGGTTGACATCGTGGCAGAAAAGGGCAATATGACGATGACCACAACGAGGCCAAGGCCAGGGCAGCCAGCCGTGAGCACTTCTGTGCCGCACGCTGTGGGCACCCAAGCGTGTCAGTTCCTCCAAGCCTTGCAGCAAACCTGTGAGAGATCTGCTATCTTCATTTCTTAGATGATGCACAACTTGCCCAAATACCAAGCAACAAAGCGGCACAGGCAGGCTTCAAATTCAAGTAGCTTGACCCAAGAGTCTACACTCTTAACCATTATCTTAATTACTTAACTATATGAACCAAACACACAAATGTGAGGTGCAATGTTTTTATTTATCTGTTTGTGAAATACATGTTTAAAAAGTGTAAATTTTTTATTTTTTTGAAAGGCAGAGTCAGACAGTGAGAGAGAGACAGAGAGTTACAGACAGTGAGAGAGAGAGAGAGAGAGAGAGAGAGAGAAAAGGTCTTCCTTCCATTGGTTCACTCCCCTAATGGCTGCCACGGACGGCGCTGCGCCGATCCGAAGCCAGGAGCCAGGTGCCTCCTCTCCGTCTCCCATGCGGGTGCAGGGACCCAAGCACTTGGGCCATCCTCCATTGCCCTCCCAGGCCACAGCAGAGAGCTGGACTGGAAGAGGAGCAACTGGGACTAGAACCTGGCGCCCCAACCGGGACTAGAACCGGGAGTGCTGGCACCGTAGGCGGAGGATTAGCCAAGTGAGTCATGGCGCTGGCCAAAAAAGTGTACATTTTAACAAACCAGTCTTTGTGTAATCACTGAAACCCTGAAAATGAAACCAGGGTAGGTCAGCGGCTGCAATGAGAATCCCCTGAATTCCCAGATAGGGCAACCTGTGAGATGAATGACCTAGGCAATAAAGCATCCATAAAAAAGGGAGAAAAGCGGAAGTAATCTTTGCCTAGTGCTGGAGAGAAGGACCCAGGCTCCCCCCACCAGCAACAAGCTAGCAAAGTAGTCATGCCCATTTCTCCTCAGGGAGTGGGGGGTGAGGTGTGTGTCTACCCAGAACAACTGACATCAGAGTAATGAAGATGACTGTGGGCCAGCGGTCACAGTGGGGTGCACTAACTCAGCCCTCAGGATCAGTGCTCTCGGAATTCCAGCCACGCCCTCACCAGGAAGCCCACACCCTCCCTGCTGGCACACTGCCCAGTGACCCCCCAGTGACCCCCTCAGCTCTTCCTCACAGCCTCGTCCCCCTGCCCCCTCCACCCTCTGTGGCCCGGGCGTTCCCCCCACAGCTCTGTGAGGCATGCACATTAGGCTGCTCCGGTCCCTCACAGCTTCTCCAGTGGACAGCGAGAGCCGCGTCTCCTCCTCACAGATTCTGGCCGGTTATCAACCAGCATTTACGGAGCGCGACTCTCAACTTTCCCCTCTCCGCCGCGACCTCTTGCGAAGCCTGCACAGGCGCTGGCTCAGGGGAAGGCCGGCTTCCCTATCTGGAAGTCTCTGCTGGACACGAGAGAAGCTGACCCGTCGGGGGCAGTGGGGAGAGCCGGGCACGCCTCCGGGTCTTCTCCAAGACTCACTCCCTAGACGGGATTCCTCCCCGTTGCTAACGTGTGCCCACCATCCCTGTCCCTCTTTCCGGAGTTCCCTTTGGTTCACCTTGTCCTTCCAAAAACGTGGTAACCCACACCACAGTGGTTCGGCAACAGGCAGTTAGGATCAAAGCCAAGTTTAGATCAAAGCCACCCTAGGACATTCCCAGGGCAAGTGCGGTAGAACGGCTGGGTGAACACAGGAAAGCCACCTTCTTGCTGCAATGCAGCCGACGGCTTCTTGAAAGGCCCGCAAGAGGAACTGGGCTGCACGTCGCAGGAAAACCCCACACAGGAACTAAACCAGAGGGCGGCAGGCGAAGTGTGCCGACCCACGATCATCGGGCACCCACTCATGCCCGAGACTCACTCACTCCCGCATGATGCAACGTCGGCAGGGAGCACTCCAGCAGCCGTCAGAGGCAGGCGGGCCAGACCCTCATCTCTCCCACTTCACGCGTTCGCCCATTCGCGCTGTCAGCTCTGAGAACAGCCTCCTTCCTCCCGCAAGCGGCCCCTCCTTCACTTCTTTGTAAACTCAGCTGAGCCTCAGAGGCTTTCAGTCTGGAGCCCTGAACCTCCACAGCAACAGCCACGTCCGCACACACACGGGGATGTGCGCAGACTTAGAGTCTCTGGGCCGCATTTCCTTTCCTAGGAGTTTGGCAGAAGTGTTGAGCACAGACTCCAAACAGAACCTTGAGTCTCTTAAGGGAAGTCCATTTTATCTAACAAATACAAATGTCTGAAACAAAGGTATGCAGTTTTAACCATGAAATAATCTGCTATCTTCTCTGAACAAAAGTATCTGGCGTATAAAAGGCAAAATGGCCTATTCCACAGATCGTGAGGGGAGAAAGCAACAGAGCTCCTCCACAGGGATTCCTGGGCGGGTGCCGGCTCCACTTCCAAGTCCCGCTCCGGGTAACGTGCACCCGGGGAAGCAGCAGTACCTGCCCACGTACTTGGGTCCACGCCACCCTGGTGGGAGACCCGGATCGGGTTCCAGGCTCTTGGCTTTGGCCTGGCCCAGCCTTGGCTGTTGGGGACATTTGGAAAGTGAACCGATGGAGAGAAATCTCTTTGTCTCTCTGCCTTTCAAATAAGGAATAACATTTCAAAACTGACTCCCGATTTCCTTTATTCAAGAACTCAAATCTTGTGTGTTAGGAGTTGCTAGGCTGTTGGGACATAGCTAACTTCGTACCTGGCAAACTGAGCCCAATTAAGAATGACCCTGAGGGTGTCCGGATGAGATTTCATGGTCTGAGATTCCGCCAGTTTGCCCAGGACACCCCAAGCTGATAAGAGCGCACACCATAAACTGCTGGCCCACACCTGCCGGGGGGCTTCTGCCTACTGCGGTGGATGGAGGTCTCTGTCCATCCACAAAAGCAGACAGGTGCTGCCCACTCTCCTGTGGGCGGAAATCCTTTTGAGAACCCCCCACCCTCCCCTGCCGGCTCTCCAGGGGGGGCTGCAACCTAACCTTCCCTGTAGGGTGCTGTCCTGTCTCCAATGGCCACCTCCTTTCCTTCTTACGACCCTAAAGATCCTAAACCTGTACCCAAAGCATCGCGGAGACAGGCCCAGGGGCCGCTGGTTCTGCGACTGGGGTGCGGGATTCTCTGCACCAAGGCGGGTAATTCTGCATCAGCCAGGAGGACCGCGTGGTCCAGGAAACTTTCCGGATGCCTGGAACAGCAGCAGGAGGTGGGACACATCCCGCACACCAGCGTGGCCCGAGCGAGGTCAGCAGAGAAGTAAAAGCACAAGACCCTAGTCCAACGAGACACACCCCCCAGCCCTAAACCGAGGTTTCTAGGCTTCGGTGAGAGGGCAGGTGCGCGGGGCAAAGGCGCCGGTACCTACCCGGGTCTGGCGGACGCGCCGAGGGGCCGCTGCAGAGCCGAGGACGCGCTGCCCGGCCCGCGGCGTCTTTAATACCCTCCCTCCTGCTTTCAGTTTCGTTGTGAGCAAAGACTCCCTTCTCCCCATTCACCCCACCCTGATCCAACCAGGGGTTTCTTAGAATTCACGCAGGTTCCCAGAAACTGCCCAGCCCAGAGGATGCGGCCGGGCGTCCAATCAGCGGCCGGCTGGCGGGCGGGGGCCGCGGCACCCTCAGCACGGCCGCGGCGAGCGGTCATTGCATCAGCCGCCCCGTCCTCCGCCTGACCTCCGCAGCCTCTTCCGACGGGGGTCGCGCCCGGGGCGGGGCGGGCTTCCTGGAAACGGCCCGCGGCCGTGCTCGGAGGCGGGGCGGCGCGGTGGGCACACCTCGGCTCGGGCGTCTTCCCCAGCCGGACTCTCGGGCGGGCCCCGTGACGCCCCCGCCTCCCCGGGACCCCTCCGGCGGCCTGGGCGGGCAGAGCTCTCACTACCGCTGAGGGCTCTGGGGGGCAGGCCCCGGGCCACAGCCCAGCCGGGCACACGGCAGGCACTGGAGAGAGGGCCTCTCCCCGCGGGACACGCGAAGCTCGGAGCGGGCCGGCCTCGGAACCAGGGGCTGAAGGGACCCGCCCAGCTTCGGCCCGCCACGGTGCCGGAACCCCGCTCCGCTCTGGCGCGCAGGCGGCCCCGGGAGGGCCAGGTCGCCGGGCACCGCCTCGGATGGCTCCTTCCGTCCCTCATCCCTGCACTTCGTCGCCTCAGCCTCCATCCCTTCGCTTACCCGACCCCGAAGGGCCCGTCAGCACAGCCGGCTCCGCCACGGGTTGTCTCCCGGGCGTCCGTGGAAACGCCGTCCGGCCGGAAAACTTCCGGCCCGGCTGCGCCCTCATTGGCTGTTCCCGCGGGGGGCCGGGTGGCGGCCGCCGCTGATTGGTTGGCGGCCCCGGCGCCGCGGCGGAACGCCGCTGGTAGGAGGAGTGCGAGCCGGCCGGGCTCCAGGAGGAGGGAGCTCTTCCGGTGCGTGTGGTGAGCGGCGGGCAGGGGCGGGCGGGTGCCGAGGGCCCGGAGCGCTCCCGCAGCGCTCGCCCCCCGCACGTCGGCGCGGGCATTTCGGGGCCGCTTGGCCTCCTTTCGTTTGCCGTTCCTTCCGAAGGCTCAGTGTTTTGGGGTCGTGCTTATGTCTTGTTTAGTGACAGCGCGGCCAACTCGTATTCACCCGTGAAAGCCCATCCCGTCTGTGGGCGCCGGGGCGGGATCCGAGCCCGGTGCCTCACCTCCGCCCATGCCAGGCCCGACGCGGTGCCGGACGCGGCCGAGGTGTCCAGGCAGTGTTTGCGGGTGGAGAACGTGCCCTCGTGGGGGCTCCACGCGCGCCCGCCTTCCGCACGTGTGGCGATGCCGGGGTCCTGAACGCAGATGGCACGCGCGACCAGCGCTGCCCTCGCGGGGCCGGCCCGCCTGGGTGTAGGGTGCAGCCCGCGCCTCCCGAAGTGAGGGGTGTTGCACTCACCGCGCCTCGCGGGCTCGCCGGCTTTCCCGCGTCACCTTCCCTGGCCCTGCCTCGACCTCCCTCCGTGAAGCCGCACTCGCGAGCCCACCCGCGTCCTTGGCTCCGGGCTGATTTTCTCCCTGGGGCTTCTCACCCGGCTCACGGCCTCTGTGGCATTTCCCTGGAGTCCGAGCCCCGCGCGGGCACAGGAGGACGGTGGTCCAGGGTGGCCCTGGCTCTTTGGCTCTCTGGGTGGTGGTCCCGGAGCCCTAGTGTGGGGCTTGGTGACTAGCTGAGGCCCCACGCCTGTCTCAGGACCCCTGCAGTCCACTGTTGTCCGTGCTGCCCTGCCTGGCTCCCTGTCGTGTCATATCACACTCTGATCTTTGGTCGCGGACCTCATCTTTAGTTCTGCCCGCTGGCTCGCCTGTGAGTGGGCTGCAGTGTTTTTAGGGTGGGCAGGGAGCCTTGCCAAGGGCTGGGTGCGGCATGCTGGTGGCAGGCCCAGGGAGGTCCCCTTGGACAGGGGCGGGGGTGGGTGGCGGCTGGGCACAGCAGTTGAGGCTGGCCCCAGGACCAGGCTGAGTATTTGCAGAGCGGAAATGCCCTGCGTGTTAGTTTGGAAGGAGTCGACCTCCCCAGTGCAGTTAGTTTGTAACAAGTAGGTCATATTGAGAGTTCCACTTGTGATGGCCTGCGGCAGGGTCCTAACAAGTTTGCTTGAGACTGTAGCTGTGCCGGGATGTTGCTCACTTGCTGGGATGTGGCTGCAGCGCTGAATGTGGCTGCGCATGGCCGTGGAGCTCCATCGAGGGGAAAGACGTGGAAGGGTTGGGTGGTGGTTCCCGGGGCCGGGAAACCCACTCTTGGGACAGAGTGCTGATGGAGGCCGGAATCGCTCAGATGGGACTAGAGCGACTTGTTTTGTTGTTGATGGCCTTTTTAGTTTTCTCCTTTTTACATTTCTTAAAAAGATTTATTTATTTATTTGAAAGGTAGAGTTACAAAGAGGCAGAAAGAAAGAGAAGTCTTCCATCCGTTGGTTCATTCCCCAGATGGCCGCAATGGCCAGAGCTGGGCCTATCCGAAGCCAGGAGCTAGGAACTTCTGGGTCTCCCACGTGGGTGCAGGGGCCCAAGGACTTGGGCCATCTTCTGCTGCTTCCCCAGGCCATAGCAGAGAGCTGGATTGGAAGTGGAACAGCCGAGATACAAACCGGCACCCATATGGGTTGCCAGCACTGCAGGTGGCAGCTTTACCTGCTACGCTACAGCGCCGGCCCAAATGTATTTGTTTATTTGAGAGGCAGAGTTCCAGAGAGCGGGAGAGACAGGGAGGTCTTCCATCCACTGGTTCACTCCCCGAAATGGCCACAACAGTCAGGAGCCAGGAACTCCATCCTGGTTGTCCACGCGGGTGGCAGGGGTCGGAGCACTTGGGCCACCTGCTGCTTTCCCATGAAGGGAAGCAGCACAGCTGGGACTTGAGCGGCTGCGCTCTGCCAGGCAGGGCCATGGGGCACTGCAGGCTGCCGTGTGATCTGAACCGCGCCACCGGCCCTGCCCTTTTTTTTTTTTTTTTTTTTTTAAGATTTATTTATTTATTTGAAAGGCAGAGTTACAGAGAGAGAAGGAGAGGCGGAGGGAGAGGGAGAGAGGTCTTCCATCTGCTGGTTCACTCTCCAATTGGCTGCAGTGGCCAGAGCTATGCTGATCAAAGCCCAGAGCCAGGAGCTTCTTCTGAGTCTCCCATATGGCACTTGGGCCATCTTCTACTGCTTTCCCAGGCCACAGCAGAGAGCTATGGAAGTGGAGCAGCCATATGGGATGCCGGCATTGCAGGCAGTGGCTTTACCGACTACGCCACAGCGCCGGCCCCCAAGTCTTCATTTTTAAATTGGCATATTTTAACTCATTATACCTGGTATATAGAAAAGCCCCCCCTTTTCGTTTTCAATGTGTTTACTCTTGGGCGGCTTTGTGATCTTGTATTTCTTGGGTGACATGTTCTTCAAACCACGTGAACATTCTCGCACACACCTTTTCTGACTCTTGACTTTGTTTGGCCTTAGGTAACTTGCCTTCTAAGGACGACAAGAAGCTCTTGGATGGCTTCGTTGGTGGCTTACGATGACTCGGACTCGGAGGCTGAGACGGAGGCTGCGGGAGGTGTCCGTGCTGCCGGCCACACGACAGGCGCTGCTGGCGTGGCTGGTGCTCCTGGGCAGGCTTTGGCAGGGAAGGAAGCACTGCCCAAAGAGCCTGCTTCTTGGGGGGGCTCCAGGGAACAGCGCCTCCCACTGGCTCAGCTCGGGGGAGGCCATCGGGGGTCTTGCCCCAGCCAGAGGCTACAGTGGCCCAGGAAGGAGCCGGAAGTCACCCTCCCTGCAAGCCACCCTTCTCGGTCTTCTCTGTGGACGAGCCATGCGCCGGCCAGCACCGTGCCCCTGGCAGCTGCCCGCCTGAAGCCAGTACAACTCTGCCGGGACACCCCAAGGTCGTTGTTCTGTGCTCAGCGTGAATCTGAAGTGACAGGCAAGACTGCCGGCTCTTCCCAGAGGAGAAGGGCTGAGGACAGTGTCGTCCCCTACACCCCAAAGAGGCTACGGCAGCCGCAGGCGGCGAGCACAGAAGCAGGCAAGGCTCAGGATGTGGCGCCACCGCGTCCCCCTGCAGGGTGTGCCCCGGCCCCTTGCTGTGTGGCCCCCCACGTGTCGGAGTTCATCCAGCCGTACTTGAACAGTCCGTACAGAGACACCCAGGTCCCCAGCAAAGTGCTCTTCCACCTCAGAGGCCACAGGGGCCCTGTCAACAGCATTCAGTGGTGTCCAGTTCTTTCCAAGAGCCACATGCTTCTCTCCACGTCCATGGATAAGACCTTCAAGGTAAGGCCTGACCGGGAACTTCCGGTTTCAGACGCTCTGAGCCATGAAGGCTGGAACGTGTCACTTGTCAGAAACAAAGTGAGGTCGGGGGTGGTTGCGGACTAAACCTTCCTGTTTGCACTTTTGCTGCCATCGGGGAGGGTATTCTGTGGTCAGCCTGGACTGTGGCTGTGTCCTGCCACCTCCCTTCCCTCTCTGCCTCGTCCAGTAAGCTAGGGTCCACCAGATGATGAGCTGGATTTTGTCCTGCCACCTCCCTTCCCTCTCTGCCTCGTCCAGTAAGCTAGGGTCCACCAGATGATGAGCTGGATTTTGTCGTCTGCTTGTGCCGTGTTTATTGAACCACTTCCCTGTCGTCAGACATTTGGGCAGTTTCCCCTTTCAGGCTGCCGCAAGTGAAGCCGCAGCGAACACGCCGCGTGCACTTCTCCACGAATCTGTCCCCGGACTTCCTCGGGTGACAGTCTCCTAGAAGCTGGGTTAGGACCGCGTGGTGAGTGGCGTACGTGTGGGAGCCCCGTCTCACCGCACTCACCCGTGCTGGGCGTGATCTTTTTGCTTTCCCTCAGTCTTTGGAAAGCGTGTTGTGGTTCCTCTGAGTACATTCCAGCACACACCAGTGAGGAATACTTGGCACTTGGCCTTCTGGTAGTCTGGCTTTGGGGAAAGAAAAACAAGTAGGAGAAACGCCCTACTGGATCCAACAGCAGCCAGGATTCGACATTTGTTTTCAGGAAGTGCAGTGCTACCCCGTGTCCCCGAGCTTTCTGACACAGAGACAAGGCAGGGGCCGGACGGCCAAACAGGAGCTGCAAAGACCGGCTGTGTGGGGTGTCTCCAGGTGACCTGCCCTTCCCCCGCTGAACCAACGCCTTCTGGGGGAAAGGCCTGCAGGTGGGAGTGCCTTGGCTTCCTACTCAGGCTGGCTGCGGCATGGCTGGTCAGCCCGCTAGGCTGTCCTCCGAGAGGGGCGCGGTGGTCTTGTGATCGTGTGGGGGAGGCTCCGGAAGCCCTCCCGGCACAGAGCCTGGTCCTGGGGGTGCTCCAGCCGAGCTGGCTTCGTCCCCTGCCTGCCTCAGAGTCGCTTTATTTGTAATGTTGAGCCTTCTCCTCCCTAGGAGGGTTTTCTTAAGAAGCTACAAGTGTAGCAGTATCAATCCACGAGCGTCATTTTTCAGTGGCCTGTGTCCCCTTGCGACAAGGCCGGTGGGGCCTCCGGCAGAGCGTGTCGTGTCTGTCTGCAGCCTGGATCCCCGCCAGTGTTCACTCAGGGCTGCGGTGCTTCTCCTGGGACATCTGGGGCTCTGAGGGCTGCGTGGGCACCTGGTGGCCCCTGTGTGGACCGGGACGCAGGCTGCCCAGTTCTCGTTCCTGGGCATGCACTCCACAGCGGCCGGGAGCGTGGGGACCCGTCTGGAGGCTGGGAACAGCCTGCTGTGCTCTGGGCAGGGTCCGGCTGGCCGCAGAGTCTGACTGGCAGCCGCACGTCCTCCCTGAGCTGCCTCCCAGGGCTGCCCCCTCCCGTGTTTCCGCTCTGGCCCCTCCCTCTGATAGGGTCCCTGCCCATTACTCTCCTGTCTTCCAGATTCCTGCTAGGCAGGCCCGATTCAGAAAGTCAGCTGTTCCGGAAAACCTCCCTGCTGGGGGTCCATGGAGCAGTGTTTATCGAGTCCTGGCTTTCTGCTGGCCCTGCACCAGGGCAGGAGGATGGACAGAGTCCTCCCCCTCAGGGAGCAGACGTGCTGACGGGGCGCTGGCGTGGTGTTCTTTCCTAGTGTGTGTGAGCCTTGGGAGCGGGGCCTGGGCTCCCTCCCTGTGCCTCCCTCCTCAGTGCACCCCATGGTGCAGAGATGGGCGGGACTCAGGCTGGCCTGGGCGTGGCGTCTGGCTCCTGCCCTAACAACTTTTTGACCTTAGGCAAGGCCCCTGGCATCTCCATAGATGTCCCCTGCACCCAGTCTAATCCCTGGCTCATGGCAGGAGTTTTGGAGGTACTCTTGTTACGGGGTGGGCCTCCTAAGGGTATGGCGGTCACCTCTCTAGGACTGTGGGGTGCAGGGGAGGGCAGTCTGACAGCACAGGCTGGAGGAGGAGGTGGGTTGCCACGGACGAGGGGTTTCCGCTCAGCACGCTGCCATGTGGAGCTACGAGGACGGCAGGTGTGACCGGATGCGTGCCCACCTGCCCGCCCACCTATGGGCTTTGTTCTCCTGACGGAGGGGCGGACCTGGAGCCCTGTGCCACTGGTCGCCTCCTGGCAGCACAGCGGAGTGTCCTCTGGTCTTACTAGCCGAATGGAGCAGTTTTGCTGGGAAATGTTGGCTCCTGAGCAGAAGCATCCCGGCGACGGTTTTCAAGCAGTGAGCCTCTGAGGGGAAGCATTGCTCCTGGGCCTTGCGGGCCCCGGAGAGCAGCCAGCCAGCTGGGACGCCTTGTGACCAGAAGAGGGCGCAGTCGGCCCAGGTTTGATGGCAGCAGAGGCAGCTCGGGCTGAGGGACCTTGGTGAGACCGGAGTCCAGGACTGTGTGGCTGTGCCAGCCAGGGTGCTGGGCATCGCTGCTGAGCCTGCCTGTGCCGGGGAGGAGGTGATGCTGGCTCGGGGCCGCCTGGCTGCCAGGCAGCTTCCAAGAACTGTACGGTCGCCCGCTCAGGATGCAGGCTTGGATTGCGCTGGAAGTGGCCCAGGGCAGAGCACACCGCCGTTGTGTGCTGGCTCAGGGCCCACCACGGCTGCTGGGGTCAGTGTTTCCTGACCTCGTTCTTACTGGGAAGCCTTAAATTTCGGGGCTTTTATCAGCCGTAGATGCAAACAGCAGCCAGGGCGCTGTCTGCTGTAAGATCTGTGACAGTTTCAGGGATAGAACAGTTTTGGGCAAGTTGACGTTGAATGTTTTGGTGTGAGAATGTGTGGCAGGGGCAGGAGGAGCTGGGGTGGAAAATGTGAGTTCTGGAGGGACCGGGGAGCTGGGAGGAAGTCCCAGCTGAGACCACAGAGGTGCAGAGCCCCAGGTTCTTGTGTGACCTGGCTGGGGTCTTTTCCTCCTCGTGTCAGATGGGTACTGGGGTAGATTGGGGGACCTCTTGAGCTTGGTGGGAAGTGCTGTGTGGGTGTAGGTTGTGGAGAAGGGACAGGGCCTCAGGCGCAGGTAGGAGTCCCACTTGCTGCAGCCCAGACCCTGTGGAGAGCAGACAGCAGGTGCGGCAGGGAATGGGCTAGAAGGGGGTGTGACAGGGCGCCCTGCTTCCCCCGAGTGTGCCTTTCCTCTCGCCTTCTGGCTAAGATGTGCAGAGTGCCCTCCGCCCGCACTGCCTCCGGAAGGAGGTGCGAGCTTGGGGGCTGGGGCCCAGCACGGCAGTGGAAAGCCTCGCTCTGCTGCCTGGGCAGGTACTTCGTTCTCTGAGCCTCAGTTTGTGTGCACAGTGGGGCTCAGCATAGCCTGCGGGGCCTTTGTGAGGCTTGCGCGGCTGGGATGTGAGCCCCTCCGTGCAGTGCCTGGCTCGCTGTTGGCACCGTGTCCGGTTCTGGCTCCCAGCAGCGTCTCCCTTGCTGTGAGCAGCGACGGAAACACACCTGCGTCACCTTGGGAGGTTCTAAGCTCCCTGAGCACAGAACTCAGGCCAGACCCGGTTTTGTGCTCTGCAGCATCCGGCATCAGTGTTGGATGTGCTAAGTGGTCAGTAAACATTTAAAGAAATTTTTTTTGGATTTTACTGCCAGTCTTTTGGGAAGGATTGTTTTTTGTATGTACAAACCCTGTTTGCCACTAGGGGGCACAGTAAGACAAGAGAAGCTGCTCTCAAGCTTCTAGAATGTGGACGAATCCTTGATTCAAGGTAACATTTATTCTTTTCTGATCGGGAGGAAAACAGCACAATCCATCTGATTAACCCAAAGAACGCAGAGTGCCCGCTCCTTCAGCTGTGAATTCATGCATTCCAAATGGGCACGGTCTAGTGGAAAGATACTCATTTTAATATGTTCCGAATGTTCTGTGAGCTGTAAAATAAGCTTATATTAGTTTTGAAAATTTACAGCTCGAGAAATTAAGTAAAATCAAACAGTGACTCACGATTCCGCCCTAGAGCTCCGTTTTCTTTGCTGCCAGCGCCGTGCCCCGGCCTGGGAGTGGGCGGCTTTCTGCTAGCTCTGGGCGGTGAGCCCAGCACGGACGCCCTCTCATGCACGCTTCTCACTTCCCCGTGAACTCGTTTGGCTTCACGTGTGTGAACACCACCCCCCGGAAAGGCAGAGTTCAGCCTGTGATGCCCTGCGGCCCGTGGTCGCCACACACCACCAGCCCCAGAGGGACTCCCGAAGCGACCCCGCCCCCACTCCCACCCCCGGCCCCTGGCACGCTGCCTGCTTCCAGGGAGCTGGGGGCCTCTCAGTAAAATGTAGCTCTTGTTTATTTGCTTAACAAAATAATTTACTCTAGGAATCTTTCAGTAAGTCTTTCTTAAAATGCTTTTTCAAAATAAAAAGAGCATTTTCAGTTTTGATCGTTTGCGTGACAGATGCTTATTGTGAAACGTCCTGAAGTCACGAAGGAGAAGGAGAAGGAGAAGGCAGAGATCATGGCTAATCGGCAGCCCCCGGCAGCCCCCCGGGGGCACGAGGCCTTCCCGCCGGCACTGCCTCCTTTGTGTTTATGCCTTGAGCTTCCGCAGAGGCTGTGCGGTTTGCAGTGTTTGTTGTGAGCATTTTTCTATCTTGTTAAAAACTTTCCCCGAACATCTATTTATGATTGTCTCAAATTCAAGACTTCGCTTTGCTGTTTCCCGTGATTTTATTAAATACTCCGTACTGCAGAGAATACGGCTAAACGGGGATGTCTTTTTTGCTGTCCTAATGCAATGACATTAGGCTTCGGGTAGAGCCCTCGGGTGTGTCTGGTGGACCCCGAATGTGCCAGAGCTCCTGGCTGCTTGATGGCTCTGAGACGTTAGGCAGACCCCTGCTTCTCCTGTGCACCTACCTGTTCCTCATGGATTAGGGTTG